AGCGATCCCCAGGACCTCTCTTACCTACCGGAATTACCAGACTCGGAGCCAGACTCGGAGGCTGATGAGGCCACGGAGGCTGCCGCAGAGACAAACCTAGACGGGGCACTGTAAACTTGCCACCAACACCACAACAATCTTGTATTTCTTTTTCATTTGTTCACCATACTCGGCGGCACATCTACATGATATGGCCGTCTCCCCATTCCACTCAGCAACTGTTTTGCATCGTGGCCAATGCTGGCATTGTCCGAGCGGGATACCCATCGTTCTCTCTCCCGTCGTTTTCTTCTTTTCAATCTGATTTCCTCTGATCTCTGTAAGCGATAGATGGCCGGCTTCCCTCTTGGTAACCGTTGCTAGATACCCATACGCATAATGAGTTTGACATGTTCGAGTATATGGATTATGAAGGCACGATAAACAGACTTATTCTCAAGATATAGATAAATGACATTAATTCAACGATGATCTAGCCATAGGCATACAGAACTGGCCGTGTCCCGAGCGTAACCCTAGTTCCATTACAGTAGACAAGCAAACTCAGTATACAAAACAAGACGAGCGCCATTAATAAACTCGCGATTGTAAAAACCCACAAGACGGGGAGGAAAAACCAACCGCAAGAAAAAGGCAACTCAACACTAACAAGACATCCCAAAGATCCATCCCAAGGCAGAACCAAATACCAACAAATCCCATCACAAAAGACAAATATCCATAACCCAGAGAAGAATACATCCCTACTCCCTATCCCCAAGATAAACTAAACAGTCCCTCGCCCTCTCTTCCCTATCCTCACCCCCAAGAGAAGAAGAAGAAGAAGAAGAAGAAGAAGAAGAAAAAGAAAAGAACGAGCCATCGATATCCAACCACTCACGACCAAAATCTACATCAAGATCAACCTCCACCTCCACCTCCTCCCAATCCAACCCCAAATCCCACCACCCAGCCATTCCAACCTCCCTCACAGCGCCCCTCCAAGCCCTAACAGGACCTCCCTCGCGGCCTCCAGCCAAACAACAGGCACCCAAACCAGCCGCACAACGCCAGAAAGATACCCAACATTCAGCCCGAACCCACGGATGCAGATCCCATGGTGTCGGAATACCCGATCGATGCGCCAGAGCGTCCGATACTCGACCTTTTTGCCCCCCCCAATTTTGACGGGGGGATACGCGGTCCAGAGCTTCGTCCAGAGCGTATCCCGAGTTTGAGCTTGAATATCTGGAGTAAGAAGCCTTGTCACGAAGGTAAAGTGAGTCCATGGCGTCAGATCAATCATAAGCTCATTGTCTGTAAAAAATAAGGCTCCTAATCACTAGGTTTTCGTCGAGAACGAGAGGCACGCTGTGTCCCCTGCACTCGGGGAATGGAGATACACGTGTGTTGCCGAGTGTAGTCATGGTGAGGGCAGTCAGGGTGATGGTTGGGCAGTTGGGGGTGAGAACTCCGTCTTCGTTTTCAGTGTCGTAGTCAAGCTCCCGTGGTGTCTATGGAGTATTAAGAGCGCAGCTCGGGGTGGTGGTACCCGAGGCGCTGGTGTGTTCGTCTTCGAAGGAGACGAGGTTGTCATTTGGGGGTGTATAGAAGGATGTTATGGATTCTGTTGTGATGTTGGACATGGAGAAGAAGCTTTCCATATCGTCTATGGTGTTGAGGATGGGATGTGTGTTTGAGGCCCTGTTGTCTGTGTCCATGTTCACCCTTGCGTAGGAGTATGTGGTGGTATTGATATAGCGTGTTCCGGTGATCTTTTGAATTTATTGTTTAATAACTGTAGTAATGAAGGCACTTGTTGTAGTGCTAGGTGAGAGGGATGAAGAAGGTGAGTCTATAAGGGCGTGAGGTAGCAACAAACGAGTCTATTGATGACGTATCATATAGCTACACCGTTATGATGCACATTCCACTGCGTTTAGGAGTGGATGAGGTCTTTGTGACGACTATGAGATTATGATAGTTATAGAACGCTGGGCTACAATGTTCTCTTCTTCTTATCCGACTTTGCAAGACCTTGTGATTAGCTCATTGACTATCACGAAGACAGTGCTATTTATGGCGATATCATCGTACATGTATACAGATTGCGATGTACACGAGTGGTATAACTCACTAACATTAGATGGCCACTCATGTAGAATGCACATCAGCAGGGCCCACAGCTCACTCAGGGCGTCCATCGCCAACCTGGTGACCAGCCGTGTAGTTCCCAAAACAAGCATATTGGTACTCGGCCTTTTCCTTCAGCTTGGAAACACCTTTCAGGAAGTCCTCAACGCCACAGAAGCCATTGATAGAGCTCTCACATCCATCTAGGCCTTCTTGTGAGACAGGAGAACCGTTCAGCACGAACCGAATAAGATCTGTGGTGCCGGACGTCGAGGAAAGATCCGGGTTCTTGTAAAGCGCACCGTCCAGTTGATGGAAGTTAGTCCTTTCCGGACAAGTCCAGATCTCGGAAATCAGATGTGCTCCGAAAGGTGTAACCTCGTTGAGCTTGAAGTTACGGGGGACAGCGTGAGCCACATCGTCAGGCAAGCCCTTTGATCCATAGTTGAAGTACTTAATCCCCAGAGCGGCCAGAACTCCGACAATCACATCATCATGGGACATGTCCATATACAATGGCTGGTTGAGAGGGAATGTGGCTGGTTCGGAGTCGATAGTAGTGTTGATACTGGTATCGCTGGTCTCGATCCGCTTGCCCTCTAATCTGGCTGCCAGCTCCAGAACGTATCCGATGCCTTGAGCACGGCCAGTTGGAGCGCCAAATCCATAGTTACCATAGAACTGAAGGTCAACGAAGTACTCAAAATCGCGCCATTCCTGCTCCGTGAATAACGAGCAGAACGACGAGCTGCCTAGCGCCGCGGTTTCGTACGGGCAGAGACTAAACATACCCACCACATCGTAGGCCGTGAGGTTGAAATCGGAAGGAAGGAAATGCGACAGCCTCTTCAGTGCGTCTTTGGTAAGATTTGGGATGAATCTTTCTCCCGAATCATCGCTGAAACGGTCAGCAGATATTATAATATGCACGAGGCCAGGGCTTACCCTTCTTCCAAGTCTCCGGGACAAGAGCCGTCGGACGCCAGAGTGTTGTTGAACCCGGTACCCTCGTGCGTTATAACCAGGTCATACTCAGAATAGGAGCTATTAGCACCGGTATTTCCAAAGAAACCGCCTAACAAGTTAGCATGGCACAATGACACTAATGAATGGCGAACGTACTCAACCACCAGCGGGCGCTCTCCAGGATTCTGGCCTGGTCTGTCGTCCTAAAGATTGGTTTAGGCCGCTCGGTCCCATTGGGATAGACGTTCAAAGAAGAATCGTAAGAAGCGACGCCGACAGGGGCCCGATAAAGTGTTCGTCCATACTTAGACCAGATATTTGCACCGGACGTCGCCTCCGTCGCAGCACCAGAGACGAGCAAAAGGTCCTCTCCGAGCACATACTCCCACTCATTCAAGAATGATAAAGCTCCTTTGGCGACCGTGGTGTTGTCATGGCGCTTGGTGTAATTCTTGAGCTTCTGGGCAAAATCTTCTACTACACCACCGTCTAGTTTCCACGACGTAGGATAGCGCTGTGCGTGTCTATGGAGGACATGGACTTGGGAGAGCTCACAGCCCCTTGGGACACCGTTCGGCACCTCGAACCCAGGCTGGTCCTTGTAAGGGCTAAGGTTGCCCCAGCTGGAGGATATGTCAAATCCAGACGGGTAGGTAGTCCCAGTCGGACCAGATGCTGCGGCCGATGAGCTTGAGGTAGGTGCTGCATCTCCTACTACTGCCTGGAAGGCGAGTAGGGCTGCGGTTGATTGCAATATCTGCTGCATCTGTGGCTAAATGTGAACTTCTTGGAACGGTTGGTGGTCGGGAGTCGGGACGCGAAATTGGCGGGTGGTGGTACGTCTTAAATAGTATAAGCTTCCTGGTAATCACCGGTGAAGGTAGGCAGATAAGAAATTGGGCTAACTCAACCAACCGTCAACCCATAAATATTTGTTTCTGGGTTGTAAGAGATCTACGCGGCGCCTTCCGTTCCGAGGATTCCCCAAGGTATCATCGTGCCTGCGGATCGGTGCAACCCGCCAGTGAGGGGGGCATGATTTTGGGCTAAGGATGCTTAGTGGGATTAGCCTGCTATTAGTGGGTAATGTATAGCGTGATCCATTGGGTGGTTTATCAGGTAGTGAAGATATGGGAAGGAATCATAGGCAGTTGGTTATAGTGCTTTGTTTCCCGGTGTGACTGAGCCGAAGGTCCGAAAGGGGTATGTGCTCACGCGATCATCGATTCCCCCCTCCTGTTGTACCTCCTTTTCTATAGCAGTGACACATTTCTTGCGGGGTTACACGTTCGATCTTCGACTATCAGATCTAGCCGAAAAATGGGGAAGCAGTATTGGCGTCGGTCTCCATCATAACCCCGTAATGATAACCTAAACCATGAGGGCTCGAAAGAATTGAGAGCCAACCCGACCCAAGAATGCGTGCTAGGCTGCCTACCATATGCCAATGCCCAGAATACAGTGAGAACTTATTGTTATTCTTTCGAATAATGGGTAAATTTTGATCTAGATATAGTGAATAACTGACTACTAGAAAATGGCTCGACTAGGTTCAAGTTATTCCTGTCGATCCGCCAAAATATATCTTATTGCTCACGTATGTACTCTGGTCTAGTAACTATACCAGCATCGCGAACAACTCAAGTACCATTTGTGACATAGTACACACACACTTGGAGAGTAAGAAAGTTTTATTACATACAACCGAGATATATGGTTTGGACCATAGCCATAGGTGAAGCTGCGGATTGCTACAACTGGAGGTAGAACAGGTATCCAACAATCTAATCCGCCCATGAATAATCAGACATCGCTAGGGCATGAAGGCACAAAATGATACATTAAGAAGGGTAGAGAAGAGAAGGCACAGAAGGTATGCACAAAACACAAGGGGTAATCGATTATGTATCGAGAACAGGTATCTAAGCGGTGGATTCTTCAACGTGTTCATGCTTGGACTTCTTCTCTTTCTTCTTCTTCTCCTTCTCATCCTTGCCCTTCTTCGTCATAGCATCGGCCATAAGTTGCTCAAACGCCATGTAGTCTCCTTCCTCCTCGGGGTCACGCTCCGCCTGCATTGTGTTAGTATCCCAGCATGCTAAAGCCGTGGAGGCATTGTTTGTGCTTACCTTTTGATAAATATTACCCGCAATGACTAGGGCATGGGCACGTTCAACACGCTTGTCCAACTTGATCTTCTTATCGCCCAGGACTTGATCACACACATCGCGCAGCACGCTCTGAATCTCGAACTTGCTGCCCCGCCAAGCAGCCGCCAGGATCTTGCCTGTGACCTTCTTCTCGTACTCAGCTCTTTTCTCGTCGGTCCAGTCTTCGCCACCACGTTCTTCCAGCTTGGCCATTTCTTCCATAGTCATCTGTGCATCAATGGCAGTCGAGATGGTGGTCCATGTCTCCTTGGCGAGGGTGCCCTTGTCCTTCAGCCGAGAGAAGAAGCCCGAGATACCGAGGAATTTCTGGGACTTCAGGAATGAGCTACCTTTTTGAATGTATGTCTGACCGATCGCATGCAGGATTTCAAGACCGAACGACTCCATCTTCAGATTCTCTACCTCGAGGCGGATCTTCTCCTCAAATGCGCGTGTCACATCGGCGCCCTTGTCCGTTTCGGTCCAGACGCTGATCTTGTCCACCAGCTTCGTGGCTAATGTGTTGACCCGTTCCTCGCGGGCCTTCTTTCTCTCCAATTCGTACGCAGCCAAGCGCTCCTCCTGCTCCCGGGACAAGCCGCCCTTCTTCTTGCTCTTCTTGTGTAGTTCTCTCTCCTCCGCAGACACACCAGCTGCCTCCATCCGTGCATCCTCCTCGGATTTGTCCATGATGGCTTGTTGACCGAGGTAACGACGAGGCGTACTTGTGCCGGAGCTGGGCGTTGGGGTGGGTTTCTCGAATTTCTCTTCAGAAGCGGGGGCATCCGCAGCAGTTGCACTGCCAGTAGGAGCGGAAGCAGCACCACCCTCCACGGAGGCGCCAGGGGCCGCTTTGGTGTCATCGTCATGGATATTCAATTTTTCCTCCGCGGATGCAGCCAGTTCCTCCTCCTCCATCTCCTGCATGGTGATATCCATCGTAGTGGTGAGATCCTTCATGAGAGAGATTTCGCCGATAAGATCGACGAAAGCGTTGCCACCAAATATCATGCCGAAGAACTCCGACGGGTCCTCTGTAACCGAGTGTGAGCAAAGAATATGTTATCCGCGGTACCAAGCACACCTACCGAAACCACCACCGGGGACTGCATCCTCCTTGCCAAACTTATCATATCGCTTTCGCAGTTCTTCGTCGCTAAGGACCTGGTAGGCTTCTCCGATCTGGCGGGAATAGTAAGTATCAAGAGCTAGTGGGAGAAGATCTTCACAGCAACGCAAGAACTAGCGTACCGCTTGGAATCTCGCATGCGCAGTCTCATCACCGGGGTTCTTGTCTGTGGGCGATTAGGATCAAGAGAAAATATATGGGGTGAGCGAGTGAAGCATACCGGGGTGAGTGACAATGGCAAGTTTACGGTATGCCTTTTTAATCTCCAGTTCGGTTGCCGTGGGAGGCACCCCCAGAGCATCGTAGTACGTAGTGTCTGCGACCATGATGCGGTAATTTGTGGAGTTCAACCCAACAGGACGTATACCCCGATTGTCCCCAGGGTCACGAAGCAGTAAAATCTAAGGATACTAAAAGAGGCAGAGCGGAGGATCAGAAAATAGGAGACGCAGAAGACAGTCAAAACAGTTGGAGTAAGTATTGATAGGTACACAACTAACTTTTTTTTTTCTGCCTGACGATGCTTTCCGACGGGAGTTTCGTCATGCGCGGGGCGCCCATGACTTTTGTCCGAACCCCAAAAGGGACCGTATTGTCACCGTATCGTAATGCTGACGGTAAGCCACACCACTACATATTGTTTATCGCGGTGTATTGGTGGTAATCCCGTGTCATGCGCACCAGCCTCTCCGCCTAGACACGCTAATAGGCTCTAGCCACAAGCTAGAGGCTCTCAACCGAACGTAGACGTCTTTGTCCCTCTCATTTTAAAATCCCTCTTCTTTTTTCTTCCTTTTCAACGACCACTCCCTCCCTCTGCACCTCCTCTTTTTTCCTCCCTTTTTCTTTTTTACCGCAAGCCTCCCTAATTCCCCTTCCCTCTCACTCATCTGTCACTCAATTGTCCTACCCTTACCCTTATTTATCCCTGGTATCTTCCCTGAATCCTCTCTAGTTTGTGAGATTATTCGCACTCTGTCCACTACTGTACAGTAACAATTTGTCACCTCGGCGACTTCACTTCCCACATTCCTGTTTCCCTGGTTCTCTGTATGACTATTGGCTGTTGATACAGCGTATCTATTTAATTTGGTTGCTATTGCTTAATTTGCCTCGCCCCTTCTTTCTTCCCTGTACTGTGACGCTGTACAACCGCCATCATGCGTGCTACCGAAATTCTCTATTATATGCTCCGCCCCAGCCAGTTGAGGGCCATCGTTCAGTGGTAAGTTTACATACCCCCGACTTGCATTGTTTTCCTCTGTGAAGGTGTATGTGCCAACGCTTACAGAGGTTTATTGTTGCCTCGCGATAGGAAAGTCTGGCACAACCCTGTCCATGAACGAAATGAGAAGAATGAAACAGACACACAGAAGGCTTGCTTCAAGTTCCTCGACTTGACAAGTCGGAGTTTTAGCGCGGTGATCCAGGAGCTGCATCCCGAACTGCTACTCCCAGTATGCGTTTTCTACCTTGTTCTTCGTGGGTTGGATACCATCGAAGACGACACGTCGATTCCTCTAAAAACCAAGGAGCCAATGCTGCGAGAGTTTAAAGACTACCTGGAGCAGGACGGCTGGACGTTCGATGGGAACCGCCCCGAAGAAAAGGACCGTGAACTGCTGGTTCAGTTTCACAACGTCATCGCTGAGTTTAAGAACATGAAGCCAGCTTACCGGGAGATCGTCAAGGACATCACTGACAAGATGGGCAACGGTATGGCCGATTACTGCCGAAAGGCGGAATTCGAGGATGCCAGCGTCAAGACAATCGAGGAGTATGATCTCTACTGCTACTATGTAGCCGGCTTGGTGGGTGAAGGACTGACTCGCCTCTTTGTTGAGGCGGAGTTCGGCAACCCAGCACTGCTCTCGCGTCCGCGTCTACACAAGTCCATGGGGCTCTTTTTGCAGAAGACTAACATCATTCGTGATGTGCGGGAAGACCACGATGATGACCGACACTTCTGGCCCAAAGAAATTTGGTCCAAGTATGTCCCCGAGTTTGAGGATCTCTTCAAGCCCGAGAACCGCGAGACTGCTCTCAACTGTGGATCCGAAATGGTTCTCAATGCTCTGGAGCACGTCGAAGAGTGTCTGTTCTACCTCGCTGGCCTACGCGAGCAGAGTGTTTTCAACTTTTGCGCCATTCCCCAGTCCATGGCCATTGCTACCCTAGAGCTTTGCTTCCGCAACCCGGACTTGTTCGATCGTAATATTAAGATCACCAAGGGCGATGCCTGTCAGTTGATGATGGAATCGACCCAGAACCTCCATGTTCTCTGTAATACCTTCCGCCGCTATGCGCGCCGGATCCATAAGAAGAATACTCCTAAGGATCCCAACTTCCTCAAGATCAGCATTGTTTGTGGAAAGGTATGCTATCACTGCTTTGACTGCTGGCACATGACCATACTGACGGTTTTCCAGATTGAGAAGTTCATGGACACGATCTTCCCCCAGCAGACTGCCGCACAGGCTAAGCTCAAGGTGCAAGGCGAGAAGTCGGAAGCTGAAAAAGAGAAGGCCAAACTGGAAGCTGAAACGCGCCAGGATCTGTACTTCATGTTGGCTTTGATGGGTGTGATTGTGCTGATCGTGTCGATCATTATGGTATGTTGTTGACGACGTGACTAGTGATGAATGAGACTGACTGTTTTTAGCTTACAGCTGCCTGGCTACTGGGCGCCCGCTTCGACCTTGCGTGGCAAGAGCTGAGGACCGGCAACTTCCGCCCCCCTGCTAACAGGATTCCCGGCGAATTGTAAGCGTGAGTTACGGATTTACGACGTCTTTATTTTATCAGCAGATGACCGTGCATGGCTCTTGTTTATATTACCCTTCTTGCCATGACGCTATATGTTTAACTAATAACGATAATATCTTCCTCCCTTTCATCCTCCTTTCTGCTTGCAGTATTGCTTGTGTGGGAACAGTGGCAGGTCAACTAGCACGGATGTCAAATTGCAATCTAGCCCTTTCATGGCTGTGGTTGTGCCGAAGAAGTGCTGAAATTGAGTGTGAGATTTCTCCGACCAGTGACGTACTAGAGGTGTGTCCTGCAGCTCTGCTGAGATGGCATACCTCCATTGACGATCTGGAACATCCTTGTATCTACGCCTTGTAGTGCTTTATACGTAACGTACTGTGATAGTCTCCCACGTAGGTAGTTGAATACCATTGATTGATTATACACCTTTCTTTCCCATTGACAATATTCTCCATATCGTATTCATCTTGTGACAGACCACGCAGCCTACTCAATACCCATATCCTATCCTCATCTAGCATCGACCATCCATCCTAGAATCCATCCGCATGCTACACCCCAACCAAGCCAACCAAAGAAACCCCCAAGCCCCCATACCCACCGCCCTCCACCTCCCTCGCAGCCTCCACAAAATCCCCAACCGTCAACCTCAGCCCAGCCTCCGAAACCAAATCCTCCCCATCCCCAAGAACCCCCCTCTCCAAGGGCCCCGGCATACCCCCATTCAACTCCCAAACCCTCCCATCACTGCCCTTCACAAACCCCAAGAAATGAAACCCATTATCCTCCTCCGGCCCCGGCACCCCCGAACTGCCCCCGCGCGCCGCATCCATATGCGCCTCCTCCAGAAACAGGGCCTCATAGACCACCCGCGCGCGATCCTCCGGCGCCAGGGAGAGCAGTTCCCCCCGTAGCTTCGCCAACTCAGACCCGTGGGCCAGATGCGCCCCGGCGTCGAGATTCAGCACGCAGTGCAGGAAGGCCATGAGGCCGCAGGCGTGGCCGATTGTTTGGGGGATCCAGAGTGGGTCGGTTTCCTTGGGGGTGGTGTATCTGGGGAGGGTGGATTGGAGAGTTGAGCGGGCGCGGGCGAGATGGGCGCTGCGGCGAGGAAGATTAGGGCGTTGATTGGGCGGGGTACGTCTGTGGGGGGAGGGTCGAGGGTGAAGATGTCGTGGAAGGTGAGGGTTTGGATGGAGAGGGCGGTGGCTAGGTGGGCGTGGACCGTGGGGTTGTTTTCTGTTTGTTTTTTTGTTCGTTAGTTGTCTGGTTTGTGGTACGCTTTGTAGATTGTTTGGGATGGTGGGGAGGTATGTATCATGATGTATGTATGTATGTAGGTAGGTAGGTAGGTATATACCTAGGGGAATGAAGGTTTTGACCCCATTGATGATTTTGGCGCCGGTGGGGAGTGTGGTGGACATGGCTTTGTTTGTTGATGATAGTGATTTATGGTTACTGCGTGATTTGATGAGTATGATGGGAACTTCGAATGTGGTGGTACGTGTTTCTGTTGGATGTTGTTAGTATTATATGAAATCTCCAATTATTATTAGGCAGAGGCGGGTGACGCAATGTATGTATGTACATACAAAGGAATTTATCGGTGCCTGAGGATGGATGGCGATCAACCGCGACAGGCATGTAGAAGTCTATTTCCTAAAGCAATCTGCACATTGACAGGCAGTAGTGGCATTGCATAACCATAATGCATTTACATCTCCGATGGCATTCTTCATATGCAAGCCGGGAAGTATAATACAGTCGCAGTTCCTACCAACATATATTGTTTTGCTGTTTTATCCAAACACGAGCTTGAGTATTAAAAAGGGTCAATATAACTGGATTGCTTATACAAAGTGTAGAGCTGCAAAAAGGATTCTCTAAAATGATTTCTTTCCCAGAGAGCCCAGCGGCCACTTTGAAAACAATGTAGATATACTTTCAAAATTCACACCACACTCCATACTATGATAGGATTCGGTTATACTGCTCTCCATTGAACCCTATATTTGTTCGCTCGTGACAGCTACCATCGCATATTGTCTTGTGGATGTATCCAACCTAGCTCCCACGTTCTTCTATTCTCGGCAGGTCCTTGAGACAGCTTAGTCATGGTGGATATACTTAACCTATGTTTAACGTATGACATGACTCCCTTCTATCGTGTCGTCGTTAGAGGCAGAAGTGCGCTGTAATACGAGGCTTGCTTTCGCGGCTGTCCTCAAACCAGGGCAGGAGGGATCGCCAGTCATGAAGCATGACATGTGTAGTGGCAATTTGCTTCAATTACATCATGATATTGAGCTGAGCGATGCGAAAAAAGCAACAAAAGCTAACCAATATCATGGTACCAAGGGAAGCAGTCAACTCGGTGAGAAAGATACCTCGCTGATGAGATTTGTGAGTAGCAAATAACTCGAATCAGTGTCAATCCCGGCAGCTGACTTCATGAGACAGGATCGTACTATAATGAGCTGCAACAGCATTGTATTTGCCTAGATAAACCTTGTGAAGGACAACTCTCATCGTTGATCTCTAGTCTTGGGGCGCCAGGGCGGAAATTAAGTCTCCGCTTAGCCCTAAACAGATTCCATGCCATGGTACCTACTACTAGTAGTAGTACTGCCTTAGAACGTGTGTTCTCTCAAGTACCCCCACATTGCATTCCCAAAGCCAAGTCTGGCGTCGGGATGCCGAGACTCGCTATCTACCGAGCGCCCTTACCGTCGTCTATTTATTACACTACCTGGCCTCCCGCCTCTGCGCGCTGGCCCTTTCAGTTCTTGTATCATCTTCCGTTCTCACGCAACCATCGACAGCTCCGCTTCAACCTTCACATTGCAATTCACCAATTCACCCCTTATCAATAGTGCATACATACATTCTGATGGAGTCCGTTACCGTCAACAGCTTACCAGTACAAAACCACCAGAAAATACTAGCATTACCCATATAGTTAGACTGATAGCATCATTCTGCACCACTATATCATTACTTATCCATACTTAACGACCAACCATCGAAACCAGTGCTAAAAAATGGCCATCAGCGAAACAGCCTTCGCCTACCACGAGCCAGCCATCAGCACAATCCTCAACCAAACAGGCTTCCTCCTGGTCCTAAACCTAGTCAACGTGTGCCTCGACAAACTGGTCTACTGCGGGCTAATTGGCCAGCTCTTCATCGGCATCCTCTGGGGCACTCCCGGCGCAAAATGGCTCACCCGCGACATGGAAACCGTGATCCAGCAGCTCGGCTACCTCGGTCTAATCATGCTGGTCTACGAAGGCGGGCTATCAACATCTCTCCCGTCCTTGAAAGCGAACCTCCTGCTTTCGCTCGTAGTAGCCATCACTGGCATCTGCGCTCCAATGGGTCTCTCCTTTATCCTCACTGAGCTGGTAGCCGCAACGCCCCTCCAGGCCTTCTCTGCGGGAGCGGCTTTGAGCGCAACCAGCCTGGGAACCACGTTCACCATCCTCTCCACCACGGACCTGATCAAGACGCGACTGGGTACGGTTACTACCGGCGCAGCCATGTTAGATGATGTGGTGGGGCTGGTGTTGGTCCAGATTATCACCAATCTAGGTGGAAGTAGCGAGTCGTTCCGTGCTGTGACTGTTGTGCGGCCTGTTTTTGTTTCCATCGGGTTCGGCGTTGGGGTGGTGCTTTTGTGTCGGTTGGGCATCAGACCTGCTTTAAGGGTGCTTCTTGCCCATAAGCATAGGTTCCCGGCGTTTACGGGGTCGATTCAGTTTTATTTCCTGGTGTGTACGTGTTTGCTGGTTGGGATGGTGGCTGGGGCTACTTATGCTGGCACGTCGAGTCTCTTTGCTGCGTATCTGGCTGGCGTGATGACGTCTTGGATGGATGACTTCTTGAAGGAGAATTCCGGGGCAGTGGATGCTGATAACGCGGCCACTGAGCCTGTCACGGAGAATACCTTTCAAGAGGATTCCACCCCGCAAGAGAAGGATTCCAACCAGAATGACCAGACTAGTCGCCAGCAGACCCCCAGCGCAAAACATGAGACTCCCACCGGCAGCCTGGTCTACGAAAAATACTACCACGAACCGGTGGCCAGAATCCTGGTCCCTCTGTTCTTCGTAAGCCCATTTACTCCCAACCAAACAAGCCATGAGAACTGCTAACACAACTGAACGAAGGCCTCCATCGGCTTCGCCATCCCCATCACAGAAATGTTCAACGGCAAAATCGTCTGGCGCGGCGTCGTCTACGCTATTCTTATGACATTCGGCAAGCTCCTCACCGGCCTCTGGCTCGTGCGGTTCTCGTCTCGACCCGTTTCAAGTGCCCTCCGGATTCTCAAGAAACCGTTTTCCCGCGTAGTCCTGTTCTGTGCGAGTCCCAGAGCCGGGTCCAAAAAGCAAAAGAAAGGGACCCCAGAGACACAACAACAACAACAACAACAACAACAAGATCCACAAAATCTGCAAGACCAGTCGCAGGAACAGCCAACACCAACCCGCCTGGCTACCCAAGCACACGAAACTGTCAACGGCGAACCACAAACCCAACCCCAACAGGCATCTCAAAACACACAGCCCGCCTCGAGTCTCCCGCCGAAGCCCAAATCCCTCTATCCAGCTTCTATCCTGGGCCTGGCGATGGTCTCCCGCGGTGAAGTCGGGTACCTCATTGCTTCGCTCGCTGAGTCGAAGGGCATCTTCGGGACTAGCTCGAGCGGTGGCTCGTCGGAGACGTATCTGGTGATTGTATGGGCGATTTCGCTGTGCACGCTTTTTGGGCCGATTTGTGTCGGGACGTTGGTTAAGAGGGTCCAGTCTTTGCAGAAGATGAGGGTGGATCGGGGTGGGGAGGGTCCGTTGGGTCTTTGGGGGATTTAGATTGGGTTTAGTGTAGGTTGGGGATAGTGGGAGTGTTAGATTTAGACTGGGTAGAGCCTTGGATGGAACGCTGTGATGGGGTTCATGGGTGCATTTGAACACCGTTTCAATGTGTATGTTCAGTCAGAATCCAGGCATGGAAGCAAGAGGGTCAAATTAAAATTCTGTTAAGCTGACCTCAAGGTGATTCAGTGCTATTGCTGTGCCAGCCTCTGCTTTTGAGGGTTTACATTCATTCCTGGCATAGATTGAGATGAAATGACATATCTATCCCCCAGTGTATGCAAGAGTTTGGGTTTGCATGAAACCAAAGGATCAAAATTCAACAAGAGAAATTTAGCTACTCCCACTGTAAGTAGGAAGAAATTGAGAATGGTATTGGAAAGAGCACGATCAAGTTGATTGATAACTGTAGGTATTGTATTACTGTATTGTATTAGGCTGCCAGGACAATTGAATGAAAAAGGAGACAACTCGGAATTGGATGAGGTGAGAGTCCGAAACTTTCAATTCTATACAATGCACATAATTGGTTCAGAATAGTGGGGCCTTCGAAATAAATCGATCTCATTGATCAATTATAATACATAGTGCGTGATGAATCGTAAACGTGGTACAACCCCATGGTTGTCCGAGAGCTACTACTAGATTTAGTCCGCCGTAGGGGGATGTAATTTATTTCAGTAAGTCAACCATTAACATACTCATGAAACATCCATTGCTGGATATCGACTGATCATTCAAAAATCTCCTGCTGTATCATGGAGGATTCTGGTCCCAAGAGATACCGTCAACGCAAAGCCTGCGATCTTTGCCACCAAAAGAAAGTCAGAATGCCCCCCGCCGGTAGAAAGACCCAAGCGCTGATTGATGTCGACAGATTCGCTGCGACAGGCAAAAGCCCGCCTGTGAAACATGCCACCTAGCAGGCGAGCGGTGCATATTCAGCGTCTGGCAGCCTTCGTCCCGGCACACCCTCCAAGGGTAGTAATTCTTCCCCCTTCAGATAGCCTATAAAGGGGCGCTAATACCACCAGGCAATTGGCCGATGCCAAGGCTCGCATCCGAGCTCTCGAAGGGACCATCGCTTTTAGGCCATCATGGACTGGGGATTGCGCCGGCAAGAACTATTTCCAGAGTCCGTTCGATCTCAATGTGGCCATCGATACGTTTCAGTGGTACATACAGTACTGTTGGCCGGGAGTGGCGAACTCGCTGCCCCGGAATGCCTTCCATTCTGCTGTCTACTTACAGACTGGTGCCGTCTTTGACCTCCAGCATTTCCTCCAGGAAGCCAGGCAAACATTTATGTCCCAGAATGCCTTCTATACAGTCCCTCAGAAGCAAAAAGTTATACCCCAATGGCCTAAAGTGGCCTTGGTTCAGCGGTGTATCGATTATTTTATAATTAAAGGCCTCTACTCTATATTCTCCGTGGTCGACCCTGAGGCTCTGCAAACCCTCATTGCTAAGAGGACTCTGGAATATACCGAAGGATCGTCTCGAGCATCCGATTGGGCTTGTCTGGCCGCTTTTACCGCCCTGATCGTGCGCTTGCACCCCCATGAGTTCGCCCTTATCTATACCGACCCGGACGCGTATATACAAGCCGCCCTCATGCTGCTGCCGGACCTGTTGATGGAGACGGCCAATGTGAGGACGCTAGAGGCTGTGCTTCTACTGGTAGGTTGGGTAGTATGCTTTCATCACATTTGATAGATCATCCTGTGCCTCTAATATGGATCGTTTGCCATGTCAGACTCTTTATTTCCTACCCAGCGGCCAACCACAGAAAGCCGAACGATTCCTCTCGATCGCTGTAAGAATAGTCTACAATCTCGGTGGGAATCGTGTGACGCCTCCGCGAGAGACCGAGACCGATCCTAGGAAGCATAGCCACCTGCGCGCTCTGTTCTGGCACTGCTATGCGATCGACAAGGATATGTCCCTCCGAAAGTGCGAGCCGCCCTTAATGCATGATATCGACTGCGACTTGGACCTACCACCAAATTATGTACCGAGCTCAGACGAGCAGTTTTTCAAGAAACCATTATCCCCAGATAAGCTCATCTTCCCTTCCGATCTCCGCCTGACCTTGATCAAAGCACGAATCTACCACTTCCTCTACTCTAATCACGGACGTGCACAGCCGCAAGCCACGCAGCTGAGGTATATCCGTGAACTTGATCAGGAGATGAGCGATCTTATGGCCGATTTCCCTGCAGGCTGCCGGCCGGATGTGCTGGCCATAGAGAATGCTCCAGATGCTTTATTTCATGACCTGGGCACGCGTGGCGTGGCTCTTCATTTAGAGTATTACTTTTGTCTGGGAAGAGTCCATGAAGCCAGCAGTGCCTGTGGTATGCCATCCACCCACAGCTGGTCTGCGGTGCCATCAAGCGTGGAACTGTATCACGAGGCCGCGCGGTCGACCCTTTTGTACACTAGGAGAGTTCCCCATATATTTCCTTGTCATACCTTCTGGTACGTACTGGGCCTCACTCATCCCCCTTGTATTTGTTTTGACACTCGCAGGATACACGCACAGGTTTTATTGACAGCTGTTCTAAACCTATTTTGGTATCTAATCCAATATCCTACAGCCCAGTCATTTTGTGCAGACCTTGAAATTCTAGAACATATAAGGCAGATGTTCATCGGCCTCATTCGCACGGGCGATAGTGCAAGGCCCTTTCCGCCGTTCTACATCACTGAGGCTTTTATTGGAACACTAATTGGCCTTGCTAAGCGGTCTTTGGCACGAGCAACTGGAAAATGAAGAGCTATATTGCACTGTTGACGAGTCACGATTACCGAATAATGATCTACATGTATGTACCAAGGACACTGCCGATTGCCAAAAGGTCTACTATTGTTGGACCTTGCCAGAAGCCTTCTCCGAGCTAGAAAAGCCTTGGCCAAGGTAGAGGCCGCTGGCTTCCTGGATATATTCCAGTACTATATGCTATACCTAACCAGTGGAATGAGTTCCCTCAGCTGATCTCATGCAAGGTTTACATATGCAGGGTGCTGTGCATTGTGTGCTCCCGGATCTTAGTGCCTGGCATTCTGCAGACAGCTACAACCACCGCAATTATTCTGAATCGCTCCATCTGGTTATCTCACTTGAAGACCTGGTATGGCCATAGCTTTCTCAATCTGTTGTCTCTCAACCTTACTTCAATCCTCGGAAGTTAGGAGAACCACGACGAAAGCCTATTTAGTATAGCCATGGTGACGTGTCGGGAAGCACAGCTGCAGCGGTTCAGTTGTTCATCATTTCGGTCCACTGCAACGTCAGAATAAATAAACTTGGTGTTGTGACTAGAATAACCACGTCTACTAGGAATTCAGTTGAGTATTAAATGTTTATAAAAACCTTGCAGTGGTATTGTATGTCTCCAATAACGATATTTCCCTGTGATTTGAATTACTGCACTGCAACGACCACGAACTCCGGGTAACTAGATATTACATGTAGCAAATGCTCTAGGATGCTCAACCATCGGCCAAACAGCCGAGATTGTGTCTTCACCACAAGTAGCCTTGGCCACGGTATGCCCCATTGGCCACTCAGATCCATCAGATAACTGTCCACAACTCCCGCGAGGCCCACAATGGCCTCCTCCCCGAATCTACCTGCCTGTCCTTTGTCTCGGATACTCATCTGTAGGGAAACCCTCAGTCCAAAACGCAATAGCCTCACCCCGGAAGTTGTCCTTCTCAATATGGCAGAACTGGGTATCGTGGAGCCAGTGCAGTAGGTCGTATTCACGCACTCTTCATACGGGGGTTGCCACCCAGCAGTAGTAATAGAAGGATACATCAGCATTAGACTGCCACTTTGGGGCACGGAATAGACCACCATCCGAGCTGCAATATGCCACAAGCTGCAACCCTACGCTATGAGCGCCGGCCTCTTGACTCAAGATGATTGGAGTATGAGAAACTACACCGCACGACCGCGTCAACTCCGATACGTACTACCCCTGCCACTTAGCACAAATGCAGCAGTGGAGCAAGAAGCAATTGATTCTAGTATACCAAACTAGTGGCTGGGCGGAGCCACTCACTGTGCAGGCACCCTCGTTATAGTTGACTTAATGCCTCATAATAATGCTTGCTACAATTATTGTTGCCCCACTGGGGTGCGTGTTCTGGCAGTAGACTTGCAGGCCAGGCAGACGGCATTTCTTGCATAAAGGATGTACTTTGGTTGAGCAGAGCATATAAAAGGCCGCTCCTTTCCTCCCCCCCCATCTTAGATATTCTGCATCTCAGTATTCTGCACCTCAAGTTGGCATATTCAAGGAAAGCTCTGCCTTATTGACTGCTACGATGTCTCCGTTGGCTAGGTCTACCTTGATGGGCTTTTGCGCCGCGCTACTGCTCCAAGGATCACTGGTCTCGAGTATTGCCACCAGTCAAGCGGTCAACTCAACTCAGTATTATGCCATCCAAAACACCTGTGACAAGCTCAACTACCGGAAATCGGTACGTCTCTTCAAGACTTATATCTGAACTTGGTTTTAGGCATTCAAGGCAAAGGCTGATTGTGCTATTCCAGTGGAACGCACTCACAGACACTGAAAAGCACGAGTTCATCGAAGCTGAGCTGTGTCTCATGCAGCACCCACCGGTCACCGGCCTGGTAGAAAACGCTACCAATGTCTGGGATGAGTTTGCCAATATCCACATCACACAGTCAAACAATATCCGTAAAGACTTTCCTGCCCACCATCCAAGCCAGACAGAACTAACTCCCGTATGTCCCAGACTATGTCGGCCAATTCCTTCCCTGGCATCGCTACTTTGTTAGAGTGCATGAGCTGGCGCTCCAGAACCTGTGCAACTACACTGGTGCACACCCGTACTGGGACGAGCTTACCGATCTTACCAACGGGAATATAGCCGAAGCTCCTCTCTTCGATCCAAACACAGGGTTCGGCGGGAACGGCACCGGAAGCAAGGGCTGCGTGAGCGACGGTCCATTCAAGGACATAGTGCTCCACATGAGCAACCATCACTTACGCGGAGATAGCTTCTGCCTCTCTCGCGGGCTGAACCACACCATTCTGGAGTTGGAAGTAGCGTCGAACGTTGAGACCTGCTTCGGCTACGAGAACTACACAGATGCCTGGTAGGCTTTTTTTCCCCCTCTCATTCCTGGCCCTTCATTTTTCCCAAGGACATCTACTCACCATGATATCTTGTTTCATCCAGGCAATGCTATAACGAGGCCCCACACACTGGTGGCCACCGTGGAGTTGGCGGGCTAATGTCGGATCCAATCGATAGCGCCAACGACCCCTTATTCTTCATGCACCACGCATACCTAGACAAACTCTGGTGGGAGTGGCAAATGGCCGATTACCCACACCGGCTCGTTGACATGGGAAGCAATAATACTACTCCCCAAATGATCCTCGACATAACTGATGTCCCTCAGCCCGGCGCTGATATTCTCGACTATAGTGGTGACCCGGGCTCCACCACCACTCTCCACCACAATCTGTGGATGAACTCTCTTGTGGCCAACACCACCGTGGGCCAGATCATGAAGCTCAATGGCTCTGTGATCTGCGCGGAGTATGTGATTGATGAGCGTGCGACACTCTATAATAAGAATGTCCACACCTCTGGACATTTTCAGTCAACGGTTGTTTAGCATGTATGATAAACACTGCTCTTGGGGGGGGGGGGGGGGGGGAGGTTATGGCGGGTGGGTGAGATGGCACAGTTGAAGGTATCTGGTATTCTCCAGACTCCTTGCTAGGATTCGTCAGCATAGTTTGGGAATCACTAGCTAGTGATGCCCATTTTTGAGATAGTGAGCGCTAAATATGTATGCATATTCAGCTTTTAGTGACTAGATCCGATTAATTAGAATTTTTGGTGGTACCGAACTATTTTGAGATAAATCTATATTTGTGGGGCGGGATCCTTTACGGAACTGCATGAAAAGATAGTATGCTGATCCGGGGTGATCACTTCTGCCTAACAGTAATGGTGTTGTTGTTCGGCATGAAAGCCGCCGATGACTAAGACTGGTGGGTCAACGTACCAGGGGTGGGTTCTGGACCCTTCTAGCCGCGAAATCAACCACCTTCTCTGACGAAGCGATATCAAGCAAAAGGCAGATTCTCAGAGGTACTAATTACATTAATTCTACATGCTCATACCAAGACTAGAGCACAGCCGAACCAACCAGAAATCAGGCCGAGAGCCTAGAGGGACAGGGACAGTTAACGATCAGATCCTAGAAATTCACCGTCATCATCATCGCATTCCTCTTCCCTTAGTCCCCTAACATCCCGTCAACGCAACATCATTAATGATTATACCTAAAATCCAAATGTTCACGGCAAAGAAACCCAAGCTAGCGAGATACAATCCTGGCAGGAAACTAGACAAACCGAGAAACTCGAGATAGTAGCCTTGTTGGAGCCAGAGGGCCTGGTGTTCTCATTAGCACCGTAGCTGCAATCGTGGTTTGTTGCTCTTATTGATTCTTAAAGCAATGAAGAGGAAGAATGGGTGTATGCATACCTGAGCGATGACCCATAGAGCCGTAACTGCAATGCCCAGCCTTGGACTCTTCATCAACGATGAGGAAGGTAGGTAGAACGGAAGGAAGATGAGATACCAGAGGAAATACTTTTACACAAGTCAGTCTTCACATCTTCGGCCCGAACGAGAAGCTTAGGCACGGATAGGAGAAGCATACCTGGCTCGTGCACACTTTGTTAAATGTAACGAATGCGAACGTCTGGGCTAACATCGCACCTGGTAGGCTTCTTTTGGCCAAAACGATCGGGATAACGACGACGGAGAGAAGCAACTGCGGCATGAAGGCTAGAGACTCAAAGCTCCCCTGGACGTCTCCAGCAGCAGAGAGGTAAAGGAGGCTGCTGTAGGGTGAAAAGTTGTGGCGATGGTCGATACGAGTCAAGTGGTGCAGATAGGTATGCTGCGCGAAAGGAAAGTCGTAGAGGATGTACATGGATATGTTGAGACCAGAGAAGGTGGCCAGTGCAGTGGTAGTGAGAAGAAGACGAGAGGGTGTGATGAAGTTGAAGATGTGGGTAAAGAGATTTCGATCTTCTTGCTCCGGCTTTTGCTTTTGTGAAGACGGTTGCAGCCCTTCGCGCTCTTCGTCAAGCCACCAGATGATAGACGGCCCGTAGATAAAGGGGTAAATCTTGAAATGCACGCTGAGCCCGAGAAGTACCCCGGCGAGAGTGATTCTTCTGTTCAAGACGGCCCAGAGCAAGGCAATGACTAGCACACATAGGAGGCCCTCGGAGCTTCCTCGCGTACTAATATTGGCGACCATTGGGTTCAGTAGCCAAACGCTGGCATACTTGAGAGCGCGTGGTGGGCTCATGCCGTAAAAGGATGCGAGTGCTTTCGCAATGAGCCATCCGGCTACCACGTCGGAGAGTGCGAAAAGAACTTTGCCAAATGAGAAGAAACCATCCCAGGAGGTCGGTAGAAGCAACCACGCGAGCAGAGGTGTGTACCGGTACGTATCTCGAGCGTACGGCGAAGCCCCTTAGAAACGTATCGGGCTGCGTCGGTGAAAACCATGTAGTCGATGTCAGTATATTTGACGGCTGAGTGGGCATCCTGCCAGGCGCCATAAACAAGAAGAAAAGCGCGCAAGACAATAGCGGCACCAAACACTAGTGATGGTCTCTCAAATAAAGAGGCCATGGCGACAACTCTCTTATCGACTAGAGTTTATCAGGGTCCGTCAGTAAGCTGCAAGTTTTCCGAAACTTAAATCTAATGCACACATCGATTGATTGCGCAACCGGGCTATATGATGGTGATATGATAGTAGTTTATAACCGGTTAAACCTGTGGGAATTTACTTTATGTTGCAGCTGGGTTCAAATGGTGATGGCAGATGCGCCTCGGAAGCATAAACGTGTGGTTTTTGGCGTTTGGCGTTTTGGCTGAGTCAGCATAATGGCGATTCCTGGTGCAGATCCAAGCAACAACTTTTATGCATTCCATTCTGTGATAGAAACATAGGCATCCAAAAACCGATTATCATTCATGTACACTATACGCTCTTTTAAATATCCCGGTTATATACACTCATCCATCCCGTGCTGTTTGCTAATAGATAACTCGCTTTGATGCATATCCAGATAAAGGAAAGTGACAAAGAAAAAGAAGGCCAAATAGAAAAAAGAAGAAAGACATAAGAAGAAAGAAATAGTGCCCTTAGCCAGAAGGGCTTTTAGAAATAGGTGACCCTTTAGTAGTAGGGTAAAGGTGGATTTGCATAGTAGGCACCATCGCCCATAGAGCCCCCCATAAAGGCTGCGCCATTGTTGGTATATTTCATGGTTTTGTCCGTTTGAGCGAACAGCGTTTCGTCGTTGAAGCTGTTGGTGTCTGTTATTCCAGGCCATAGACTGCTGTCACTCCAGCTCAGGAAGTCCCACAGATACTGGGCCGTCGAATCATCGATGACTGGAGGCGCAAACGGGTCGAAGCCTGCTTCATTCTGGAGGAAAAGGTTTTGGGGTGGAAGCATCCCCGAAGTGGCTCGAGGTAGTGCCCCTTCGCGTGAGAAGGTATACATGCTATTGACGATGCCTGTCTCATTAGCCATGTTGGTCCCTCTTTTACTGGCCTCCAGTATCTGCGATACGGCATCCAACGTCCTTTTGGCAGTCGGGCTCCATTGTTCCAGTCGGGCTAGTACAAGCATAGCCATCTCAACCTGAGATTGGCAACTCGAAACAGTGGCTCTAGGATCACTCGTTGTGTTGTCATTGAGAAATAACCCCAGTAGTGGAACCATAACTGCCTGGAATATGAGCCAGACAGCACTCCAGCCAGACATTTGATGTGACTGAGCTGTGGAAGAAATGTCTTGAATTGTAGCCTCCGCGATCTGTCGACACCTTTCGATCGCTGTCCGCTCTTCGGACCGGAGGGCAATATATGGAACCCGTCGCATGGCGTAGCTGAGTAGGGTTGGACGGTATATAAGCATACGTTGGTTGTAGTACCGCCATTTCATGACTGTCCTCGTGATGATAATCGATTCGGAGCATGGCTCGTGGTCTTTGAGTATATACGGAAGGTTCTCATACCACTCTAGTAGTTGATTATCAAAGTGTGACATTTCATGGTACCTCGTCAACGGAGCGGCAGCCAGGATTTCTTGGATCTGGGTCGCAATTTTGCAGAACCGAACGTTTTCTAGGAGCGGTATAATGTCGAGAACATTTCCCTAGAAGGGTTAGAATGAGATAATCACAGAGTTCGGACGCATACATACCCTTTCTCGGTACTGCGGCAGTTTGACGGTGATCGTTGGTCCAAACCGCCCCATGCTCGGTCGTCCCAGAGTCATACAGCCCCAAGTGTCCAAGCAAAACAAGGACCACCACACTCGCCGTTTCAGGTCGGTCGAGTATATGTTTTGTTTACAAGACCCTTCCTGGTTATCCGAAAACTCTTTGTGTAGGCCCAAAGCTGCAGCCATGCGCAACGCAGCTCCCATGAGCGAGTATGCCAGATTGGGTTGACTGACGTAATGAAGATACTGCCCTCCTAAAAGACCGAGAGCCTGTATGGTCTCTATATGTGAGGAACCAAGCGATTCTAGATTCAAGTAGCTCTTACTGCGCTGGGCGTAAATGGTGTGGGTCATGTCATCGGATGGACACGCCGCGATGCTACCCAAGGCAAGCACGATGTTTAGCAGTGCCAGCCAACGTTCATCCTTTCTACACCCCGAGTGATAGATATCGCGGAAAACCTGCTCATCTAACATGGGCACGAATGGCTGAAAATAAGTAAAATAGGCGTCGAGCAACTGCATCTCTGTCACTGGTCGATGTCGTTGAGGGGGCGTTATTGGTTGCTGAGACTCTTGGACCGGCCATGATTGGGCCTCTGCTGGAGAGTATCCCAGGGTTGAATCCCTGGAGTCTGTGTTGGTCGAAGAATGAGAGAAGTAAGAGAGGGCGCCAGGGTCAAGGCAGAGAATCACTTTGAGAACAGCATTGATAGACGACACCCCGAGATAAGAGGAAGGCTGTCTGGATGAGAGTGACAAGGCATTGACGTCGTCCGAATAATTATTGGATATCTCCGAGTTCTGAAGATCGCTCGATTCTTCAGGCATCGTCTGCAAAGATTCCAGGTTGCCATCTTCGTTGGAGATGGGGGAGACATGGGCTTCGACTGATGCCGAGGTAGCTGGCGACGCTGGGTGTGGCGGCTGCGTCTGCAGCTGGGATGATTTGCCTGTCAGCTCTAAGAGCTTTTCGCGAGGCAAGCTAACTAGATTTTCGGGTGGGATATTGGGGAAGAGTTTCTCGAGTACGCCCCGATACTCGTCCAGGGTGGTGGAGAGTTTTTCTACATGTCTGCATTTTCATTCCCATGTAAGCCATGTATAGATCTTCCACTGTCTCGGTGGGGATTTAATTGTGGGGAGGAAGGGGCATTTATCGCTGATTAAAAATCAAAAAAAAGGACAGAGAGCAACCCACCTCCGGGAGGGCCGGGGATCTGCATAATGGCACTGGTCGGCTTTCTTATACCACCGACATGCTTCGCACGGCTTTTCACCGTCACATTTGATCTTGCGATGCCTGCAGGACGTACAGGCACGGAGGGTAGTGACACGCCGGCCGACAGAGGGCTGGCGCTCACCACGACCCCGGGCTGGGGCCGAGTTGTTCGGGTTTTCGAATCCTTCAAAGGTGTGGAACATCTCCAAGAATCGGTTCTAGGCAATCTCAGACAATGATAAACAGAAGACACCCACTCAGCTGATGCATTTAGATCCAAATTGATCAGAAACAGCCATTGGAGGTAGCAGACGTCCAGCAGTTTGGATGCAGCCGAGTCCAGGGATTTTTTCTGGAAACAGCGGAGGCCGACTAGTCTAATAATATAATAATGCCAGGGAAAAGGCCGCCACCGTCCAGCTTTGCAGCGTACTAGAAGTGAGACCCTGCAGATTGTGGGCTGGTGATTAAAGGGGTGGCAATTAGGGGGGGGGTTCAGAATGAATGCCTTTTGACGACACGGAAACTGTCACTGTTTGATGCCCACTAAGAATAAAGGCCCTCAAAAGAGATAAGAATAACTGGGTAAAAAATTATTAACAAGATAAGACCGCGTTGTCGATTACGATCAAGGGTTATGGGAAAGGTGTCTAGGACCGGATGGGGCCAAAGAAGAATATTAAGAGTGTTTGAGAGTCGAACAAAAACGGGTGATGCGCGAGGATGAGTAGAGAAAGTTAAGAGTGGAGGCCCATGGAACCGTCTAACCCTATCGCCAACCATGCTGAACAAACCCTCGTTGGCAGATCGTCCTGAGATTGTCCGCGGTTTCCCCGCATTTCTTGATTAATGCATGCACGCAGAAGAATTAAATTCTGTCCTTTCTTCTACCATTCGTTGAACCAAGTGCTGGGTCCCAGCGCATCCTCTGATATCCGACGCAGTTTACCCATCGGTTAGCCGCTGACCTTGTTGGCCAAATGACACCGTGTCTGTCTATTGCCCCTCGTGACGCGCCAGGTGAGGAGTCTACAATTCTACGCGGCGTCGTGGGGATCACGAAAAGTGCACTATCCATGGAGTGGAGGGGGCAGGGCCATGTGGTGGTCTCTACCTCCCTGCCAGATAGACAGGAAACCCACCCCCATCCCGTCAAGTCCCGGCTCCTGTCATGGAAATACCGTCGGCTTCCATTTCTACGTTAGATTATTCTACAGATTTCAAGGTGCTGGCACCACTTTTACAGTTAACGAACCGGGTGGCGTGCATCTGCATCTCCCGACAGACATCCATGGAAGCAAGACAGCATGATGCAGGAAACCGGGGAATTACGGCCTGCCAGTAGATCAGAAAAACATCCCGCTCATGAGCCTGAAGACTCCCTACGAGGAATACCGGAAAACACCCTTGCTGCAGCAGAAGGAACAGTAGAATTGTGCCCAGCCGCTTAAACACAGAGTGGCCACAGGCAATCCGAACAGAAAACCCACGCAGACGAATAGCGACCTTGCCCACTTTTCTGCACAAAAAGTGCTGCAGAATCACATTCACACCTTAGCGAGAGAACAGTGGCTTGTCCCTGCATTTCTATTCGTAAGGCAGCAGGCTAGGCCGGTTTCTGAGCCTTCGGCTGTATCCAGGTTTCTACACCAGTGGAGTCATCGGCAGGGGTCCAACTTTAAATTAATTACTTACTGCCTTGTGTCGGATATAAACGACCGACCCAGTGCTTGTATCGTCAGGCAGACGGCGGTTCCGCAACACGCTATGGTCAACTAGGGATCGACGGACCCTTTAGCCCTTAGGCTAAACCACAATCTTCCGAGGATCCGTTATTTCCTACGCAGGCAAAATGCCTGCCAAATCGTTTCCCTGTGATATCCGTGACCCCGCGCGTATTAGTGAACCTGGATTCCCAAAGTTTATTGAAATTGCAGGTCACCTGTTGATGCAAGAGAGCCATGCTAGCGTCAGGGAATACCCTGCGCAGCCGAATTCCACCAGTGGAGATTGAGGCCCCAGAATTTCGCCGAAATTTCCAGAGCCGTTCAAGTCTATTTTGCGATCAACAGGAGGCATCCTCTTAGCACGGGCACGAGGGGACCGGATAGGCGATGGTGAACATCAGCAATTCGGGATGATCCGAGCCACTGACGACGGCACACAGTATTAAGGAACGTCGCCCCGTTCATCCGACAGGGTTCTTCCAATCAACGACGCTGACGACGCCCACCAGTAGCTAGCGGATTCAAACACAAGTAAGCGTTGATCCGACGGACGATTGGCGCCAAGGAATGCGTCATTTTTTTTTTCTCCGTGCACTGACGGTTGAGTAGAGCATGTCCCTTCAATTAAATTTAGTGCCTTCAGGAGTGTGAGACTGCTTCCAGAGCATTTGATCAATGGTACGATGAGGGGCTGATTCGAAGGCCGATGCCCGAGGGCTCAGAGTTTCAGACAGTCAGACCGGGACCTTAGCGCCAAACGACGCGTCAAATGTCTCATGGAAAGAGTGGCTCAACGGTTCCTCGGGCGAACTGGGAGGAATGCATTTGGTCTCTGCTGTGGCCACGGGCCGAGGGAGGGTGCACCCACACATTGTCGATATGGTTTATACTTTGCGTCGGATTTGGTTGTAGAAAGAAATTGGATTTTGGATGGCAGCGAAACCGTAAGTGAAACTCAATTTCCTGGGGATCAACTGCTTTCCGAGAGAATCATGAACGATGTATGGTCCAAAGAAAAGATATACCTCTGACTGATGGCCATCCTCGACCATTTGTATGGAGCGTGTTTGACCAACAATGTCGCTGGCAATTGACCGACGAGAGGATCCAGAGAGCTTGACGGAGGTCCCTCCGTGTCTAGAACGGAAAAGAGTGGGAGAAGCATCGGAGGTTTAACAGTTTCGGGAAGATGCCGTGGTTAGGGTATGGGTAAGGAACCCCATCGAGTAAGGACGCCCCATAAGGCCGTTTCACAACCGTCTTTCACGGCCACAACCAAAACTTAACGAAATGAGAGCAATACGTACGGACGACCAGCAGTAGACTTACCTGTGTGCCATGGTAGAGGTTTAACGAGGGCGAACCGCGACTGTCAGTGGTTGACATCGCCCCTGATGGCGCTTAACTAGATCGGGCAAGGACCCTCCTCCGTCCAGAATGGCTCAAAGAGGAAATCCCAGCACGTGGGGTACGGAGTGTTACTCCGCATACCTTGTCGCATGTAGCATACACGCATGAGAATCTGCACCTTGCAACGATCCTTTCAACATGGGGAGTCGGCATCTAAAATCCGGGGAATTTCCACTTTCTGGGGTTCGATGAACACAAGTTTTCTCTGTCCTCTGCTGAAGTGTCCAAGCGTCCATTGACACTTCTAAAACCCCTTCAGATAACCTCATGGCGGCATTCTCTCAGCACCCTCTATCTACGGGATGGAGCTTCAAAGATAGCGATGATCAGTCTCCTGAAGCGTGGATGCCGGTACCTGTCGTTCCTTCCGTGGCTCATCAGGATCTACAAGCCAATCAGAAGTATGCGTTTCTTATCACATGCCCAATGCAGTCCAATTGCTAACCGACGGCCATTTCCTCCAGGCTGAAGAATCCTTACATTGGTTTCAATGAACTAGATGCCCGATGGGTGAATGAAAAGTCATGGACCTACCGAACCGTCTTCCAGAAGCCCGCCGTCGCCGCTGGATCGTCGATTGTCTTGGCATTTGACGGGTTGGATACCTTTGCCACAGTAAAGCTTAATGGCAGCATCATCCTGGAGAGTGACAACATGTTCCTTGCTCACCGTGTAGATGTGACCAAGGCGCTTGAGGTGGAGGGAGACCATGTGCTGGAAATCGATTTCGACTGTGCCATGCGCAGAGCACGAGAGCTTCGGGAGAAAGATACCAAACATAACTGGGCTTCTTTCAACGGCGATCCAGCCAGAATGGCAGTCAGAAAAGCCCAATATCATTGGGGCTGGGACTGGGGCCCACTCTTGTCAACTGCAGGTATCTGGCGGGAGGTGCGGCTTGAGGTATACTCCACTAGGATCTCAGATCTTTGGACGGAGGTGGAGCTCGCACCGGACCACCAGACAGCTCAGATTTCGGCTTTCACTGAAGTGGATGCTGCGGAATCAATTGACTCTTACAAGGCCAGCTTCGTGCTTAGTCTCCACGGCAAGGAGGTCGCTCGTGAGGTGGCTACTTTGAAGGACAGGGTTACGAAAGTGACATTTGACGTCAAGCAGCCGTCTCTTTGGTGGCCCAACGGCTATGGTGACCCGACTCTGTATGAGATTACCGTGTCCTTGGAGAAAGAAGACCAGGGGATTCACAGCGCGTCGAAGAAGATTGGCATTCGAACTGCAGAACTTATTCAGCAGCCTGACAAGCATGGGAAGTCGTTCTTCTTCCGAATCAACGGGGTCGATGTCTTCTGTGGCGGCTCATGCTGGATTCCGGCCGATAATCTCTTGCCCAGCATTACTGCTGAGCGGTATCGCAAATGGATTGAGCTGATGGTTGCTGGCCGCCAGGTAATGATCAGGTATGTTTGGACAGTCCGTGATAGTTAACAATTTGCTAACAGAGCATAGAGTGTGGGGTGGTGGTTGCTACGAGGATGATAGCTTCTATCAAGCATGCGACGAACTCGGAGTCTTGGTATGGCAAGACTTTATGTTTGGCTGTGGCAACTACCCAACATGGCCCGAGCTCCTGGAGTCGGTTGAGAAGGAGGCGAACTATAACGTGCGCCGACTGCGCCATCACCCGTCAATTGTGGTGTATGTTGGGAACAACGAAGACTACCAAGTGCAAGAAAGTGCGGGTCTTGTCTATGACTACGAAGATAAGAACCCTGAGAATTGGCTGAAGACCGATTTCCCAGCGCGCTACATATATGAGAAGCTCCTTCCCTCTGTTGTTGAAAAGCTGTCGCCAAAAACGGTTTACCATCCGGGGAGCCCTTGGGGTGATGGAAAGATCACGTCCGATCCTACAGTGGGCGATATGCATCAGTGGAATGGTAAGTCAAACGGTGTCTTAGATCAAGTTCATGCTAACCTTTGTTAGTCTGGCATGGAACTCAGGAGAAGTATCAAATCTTTGATACATTGGGAGGGCGTTTCAACAGCGAGTTTGGAATGGAAGCATTCCCCCATATGTCGACGATCGAGTATTTCGTGGAGAATGAAGCGGACAAATACCCTCAGTCGCATGTTCTCGACTTCCACAACAAGGCCGACGGACACGAGCGAAGGATTGCTACATATCTTGTTGAGAACCTGAGGACAGCTACAGACTTAGAGGCATGTTACCTGACTTGACCATCAGCATCCCTGTGGCTAACTAAATATAGACATACATTTACCTCACACAGGTTGTCCAGGCCGAAACAATGATGTTCGGATACCGTGGATGGCGTCGTCAATGGGGTGATGAAAGACATTGTGGCGGTGCCCTGCTTTGGCAACTAAATGACTGCTGGCCCACTATCTCCTGGGCCATTGTAGACTATTTCCTGCGGCCCAAACCGGCATTTTATGCCGTGGCACGTGTTCTGAAGCCCATTGCTGTGGGTGTGCGGAGGGAGCATCATGATTGGAGTGTGACCCACGCACAGCCGCCGAAGACGAGCAAGTACGAGCTCTGGATTGCCAGTAGCTTGCAGAAGGAAACTGTTGGCACCATCGAGCTTAGATTCCTTTCTGTCAACACTGGGCTTGATGTCCGTGCGCCCATTCTGCGTGACAACGTCAAAATAGTGCCGAATGGTACTACAAACATCCTGGAAGGTGTCATTGACCATAAGGAACAGCCGGAGCCTCACGTTCTCGCTGCTCGACTATGGGTGGATGGTGAGGTTACCGCCCGCGATGTGGATTGGCCCCAGCCATTCAAGTACCTTGATCTATCGGATCGGGGACTGGAGGTGAACAAGGTTTCAGAATCTGGTAACGAGCAGAAGCTGCTGCTCACCGCGAAGAGACCTGTTAAGTGCCTCGTCTTCGAGGAAAGAGATGGCATCAAAGTCAGCGACAGTGCCATGGACATCGTCCCGGGAGATGGGCAAACGGTCACCATAACCGGGCTGAAGTCGGGTGATGCTCCTCTGAAGTACAAGTATCTTGGCCAGTGATTGCCTTAAATGGCTATGATTGAGTGTACAGCGTTGCTACAGTATCCAATGACTCAATCATGACATGATGTTCAATGTATGCTATGGGCATAGAAAAAACCGTCGGTGTCATACCCTAGAAATGATTGTATAGATACCTCGAATTGATTCATTTAACGACCCTAGATCTAAGGGTTTCATTTTACGCACCCATTAATGCTTAATAATTGGAAACAGCTCCACCTAAAATGATACCAGTAAGCAGTATTAGAGAAACACAATGCTCAGCAACTGCTGTATCTCTTGCACGTTGGGGAATGTGCTCAGGTTCATTAGTACCCTCTACCCTTCTCAAGACAGTGAAGATAAGATCACGCAATCAGCTAATCAAATAATATCACGCACAGAGCAGTACTAAAAACAACCAGCTCCTCTTGGCGATAATGTGGGGGGGAAAGAAAAAAAGAAAAGGCCCATCCACCAATGCCCGAATGCTTGGTACTGGCCCAAGATGGCCACCAACTGCTTAAAGCAACCATATCTTATCAGATAATCACCCCGATCCGTCCTAGCCCAAAGTCCAATGATGACGCCCATCAATCAGTGATTTAATTTCACTGCCGCAAAATAATTCCCCCTCCATCCCAATTACCACCATCCCCACCCAGTCAACAGAAATAAATGGCCGGAACCAAACGCACCTGGGACGGCAAACAGCTCGCACTCCAACCCAATAACAACAACAACAACAACAAGCACCAGACCACGACAATGGCCGAACAATCAACGCAAATCCTCTCCATCTTCGGGACCTTCCGCAACGAGCTCGACGAGCACCACGATCGGCGCGAGCGACTGATCAAGATCTCAAGGGACATTACGGCGCTGAGTAAGAAGATGTATGGTTTTCTCCCCCCATTTCCCATCTATCATGAGGTCATGCACATGACGGACCTTATCGAGTAAAGCAAAGCAAAAGCAAAGCTAACACAAATCTGCAGTATCTTCTCCCTCCAACGGTAACACACCTACACACCTACCCCCAAAAAACAAAACCTAACATGACAAACCCCATCCCAGAATCCGGAAACTCAATGCCCCTCTCCCGGAAAACATCACCAAAGAAACCCAATCCCGCTTCACCCAAATCCAGTCCCTTTTCACCACCGCCCTCCCAGACGTCACCGGCCCAAACAAATGGCGGTACCAGCGCCAGCTCAGCGGCGCGATCCAGGAATATATCGAGGCGCTCTCCTTCCACCACTACCTCACTACGCAAACCCTCATCACGCTCCCTGAGGTGTGCACGAAACTCCCCGCGGAGATACTCGTTACGGAGGAGGATTATCTACTGGGTTTGTTCGATTTAACTGGGGAGATGATGCGGTTTGCGGTCACAGCGTTGTCGGCTGGGTCGGTTGCTGCTGACTCGGGTGCTTCTGATGAGAAGATGGGGCTGAGTAGAGAGCAGAATGGTATTGTGGTGGATTTGAGGGAGATGAGGTCGCTTTTTGAGGGGTTGAGTGTGTCCAGACGGCATAATTTGATTAAGGATCTCGGGAAGAAGATGGAGGTTATGCAGGGGAGTGTGGAGAAGGTGGAGAGGGCTGCTTATGGGATTTTGGTGAGGGGGAGTGAGAGACCGGCTGGGTGGATGCCGGATCTCTCTGCGGGTGGTGATGAGGGGTATTAGTTCATGGCTTTTGTTCTGGGTGGTTGACTGTGGCTGTGTATGTATGTATGTATGTATGTATGTATGTTTTACTCATGTACCTATAGAAGAGTGGGATTGTTCTGAACTAGGTAACCTAGACTTAAGTAAACTATAAACTATCCCAGGAGCTGAGATCAGCAAGGCCATATTAAGCTCGTATCTCACTGTGCAGTATGTCATTTACCATATCTTCGTTGTGTTTTTGGGAAGAGAAAACCATCAAACATAACCCGTAAATCCATCCATATACTCCGTCCATCAAACCATATCCCATAATTCAAACGAACCCATATCCATCATAACCCAAGAACAGCTGCCAAAGGCAGAATCAATCAGAAAGTTGGCTCCCTCGGATCCTCATCCTCCGTCAAGATCCCCTGAGCCATAAGATCCTCCGGCTGCGGCCGGCTCTGAATCTTCTGGTCGAGATGATCAGCCAACATATGTTTCTCTAATTCGCGGGCGTGGGCCTGAAGCGCCGGGGCTGCGTTGATATGCGGGAGGATATTGCCTTTTGTATATCATAGCTACGTTAGTAACCGAATCTATAACAATATGACAAGAGCTAGTTGTGAGAGAAGAAGCGTAGATGTATAGGCGGGAATAATGTCAAGATACGCACGCTCAACCAGTTCCTCGCGCTCCGGTCTGTGCTCGAGATGTTTCTTCAGACTGTCGGTTGTGCGCTGACGGTCTAGTTCCTGTCTCGCTGCTTGGATGGATCTGTAGGCTATTTGTTAGTGGCACGATGTGAGGCGTATAGGTAGTACAGTAAGTAGAGTCACGGAAGCGTACGGAGCAACATTGGTGTCGAGGAGGATGTGTCTCTCTTTGAGATCCTGGGGATCAGGACGGTTCAGGAGATGCTTCTCCAGGGAATTGCGGCGCTCGAGAGGCGATGTGGCGAGGGAGGTTTCGTCGACGGCGTTGACCATTGTCATTACTTGCTTGTGGCTGCGATGATCAGTATGGAAGTATGGAAAGACTAGCACTTGTATAGTATTGACAAGGTTCGAGTTCTTGGGGAGGCGATTGGATGGGAGAGTCAAGCCCGGAGAGATACTTACGTATTGGGGGGGTTAATTTATTGCTGGGCAACGTAGGTACAAGGAACTGTGAGGGTGGGTGTTGGATGAAGGAGGGGCAGTCAAGTGACGTTGACATCAATGCGGAGGTTTGATCCACGGGACCTTAACTGCGGCTATTAATTTGGGGGCATGACCTCATGGCATGGCTCATTAGAGTTTCCTTGTACACGGTTAGGGTTATCATATCTCATCTCATCTCTCCATGATCACGAGCTAAACACAAGTTTCATTTCTGTCATCTGTTTCTTTTTCTCGTTTTCTTAATAAACAATACCAGAAGCACTACTGAAGCATGCATCTTGCCCATCCCCCTCATACTTCCATAGAGCAATAGCAACAGGTTCAACAAAAATAAGCAAGACAACTCTCATATGTGGGGGTGGTAACTGCTGAGTAATATGTTGAATAGCTAGCTCGTTTACGCATGTCGGGTTGAACAGGTGCGTGGTCAAGGAGCACCCGACATGTGGAAGGACATAAAACAAAAAGCTCGTTCCTCCAGCGTAACGGAAAGCAAGTGTATGAACAAGAAGACCCGTCTGACCCCAGAACCTGACCCAGAGCCTGATCATCGGTCTCGCACGAGAATGGTCGTATGGATCGAATCAGTGCCGTATCCGACTCGCACTCATCCTTCATATCCGTGCAATCCATATAGGACCCATTCGCCTCATCCATCAAGTCACAGTCTGAACTGACATCGACCAGTAGGCAGTCCGGGAACGGAAGATGATTCCTGCTTCGAATAACAACCACAGTGGTCTCTGTTGGAAATTGCAAACAAATGCCCCGTTGGCATCACAGTCAACGGGGCTCTGCCGTCCGCTCAAGGAACCCAGAGTTTCCCACGGCCTCGGCTGTTGCCACGAGTTGGACCACGAGGAGCCCCTCGACGACCGCTATTGTAGTTCCGAGACGCTCCTGCCATGCCACGCGCAGCCCCGGATTGCGTACTGAGATCAATCGTGGGCTGCTGCTTGGTTGTGGTGGGCAAGGACCGACTAAAAGAGTTGGGATCGATGGGCTGAGTAGGGATCTCCATCGTACTCTCCACAGGCGGCGCCATGGTCTTAGCGACAGCAGGTTTCCGATTGCTTCCGCCACGCGATCCTCCTCGTGAGGTTGGTTTCCCGCGACCCCGAGGAACAAATACTAGTTCATCTTCGTCGCTTTCGTCGTCGTAGGAAAGCAGTGACTTCGGCTCGGCTGTCTGAGTTTGGGTTTTCTCCACATATTTGCAGCGATTCTTGTATTCCCGTTCTTCGTACTGAATGGAGGTCCGCAGCTGGTGGATGTTCTTCACGCCAATGCCAAACTTCTGGGCCCAAATCTGCGTGGAGCGGTCGTTCGTGATAAGGATACAACTTTTAGCCGCATTGGACGCATCCGGGCCGCTGTGCAGGCGCCACAGCAACGCACTGAGTAGCGGTCGGAGCGCCGAGGGAACCGTGGGGATGGTGGAGCCGGAAGCAGATCGCTTATGTCCGTTCGTCTGCTTTACTCTAAGGTTGTTCGTTCCATTTCCATCCTCAACTACATGAGAGTTGGCACATTCGGGACTTGTACGGGAACTTCTCGACGAAGGTGGCGATGCCGGGGCACTGTGAGTCCCTGCCGAGTTAACCGACGCGGCGTCCGAGTCCTTCTTGAAGTTAAGCTTGTTGAGAAGCATTTGCGATAGGTCATCCGGGGCTCCGTTTCTCTTGTTGTCGTTTCCTTTGGGTCCCTTCTTCTCCAACGGCGTCTCTCTGGTATCGGTTCCATTTGTCGCCTCCGGCTCTTCTTCGAATTCCGGCAAAAAGAACTTCTCCGCATCATCCCAGTTCTCGTACTGCTCCATCGGGCCCTGGAGAGCGACGCGATCGGCCGGGGTACTATCCTTTCCGGAAGTAACGCGGTCAAGAAAGCGAACAGCCTCGCGGGCGTTGATAGCGACTTGAGACCCGGCTCGTTTCAATGCATGAAGACGTTCAAGGGCTGAGTGAAGGGATGGTGAGAAAAATGTAAGATGCACAGAATGCATGAAAGAAAAAGATATACATAGACAGAAATTATAAAGGGAGATACGTACTGTAAAGAGGAACGACCAGGGTGATGGCCCCGTTGGTTGTCCATTTTTTGATTTCACTGATGTTGGTCGTCAGCGCCGTCTCATCCACGGCACAGTGGAAGACCTTGCGTCCGGTCGACATCGCTTCAGCGGCCGACAAGAAGCAGATCGCGTAGGTAAATCGTAGGGATGGTTAAGGCGGCGCAGCTGCCCTATACCGAATGGCTGAATTTAACGAGTGCGACTGAGCCGCCGCGGCGTTAGCGGATGGGTCCTCAGAAGGAGGTTTGGTCTGATGGTGGAGGGATATGAGAATGTGGGGGCAATGGCATTAAGATTAGGTCAATCAAGAGGCACCGAGGACAACCTCAGGCCACTAAGACGCCAGAACATACAGACCACAAGGTACTTACCGTGGGATCCTGGTTCACAAAGAAGGAACATATGCAGCATTTTGGGGGTCTGACCGAGTCATTCGCGGAAATACTAGGGCCCAGGTAAAGGCTGATTGAAGGTTCATTGAACAGCAGCGGATCAACTGTGACGCCGTGGGAGTGACTCGCCCAACTGACTAAGCGGAACAGTCATCATCTACAAGGTTCATCACGTTTCTACAGATTCGATCAGAAAATTCCATGGCGACAATCAAAAGAAAAGTCGTGAGATGAGATATTCTGTTCATTTCAATAACCATACTGTGGTAGCGAAGCTTGATAGGATATCTACTTGGGTTACACTCTATAGGATAATTGACATGCTGTCACCGTAACACAAAAAGTCCTCCATAGAAGCAAAGAACGAACGCTATGTCATACAAGCATCAAGGGCCGTCTTGATGCGATTGCGCAGCTAAGGCAATACTAATAGAAGACGCCTAATTCCCGCCAGCTTAGTTCACTTTTTTGATCAGTCCGTCAGCGGGCTTGACACGCTGTGCCCATTCACTAAACAAGATACATAGTAAGCGACTGTGCTTTACAAGGGCATGGTACTTAGCGGATGTAGGTAGTACTTACGTCCAGCTTCCATCGTACACCCTCCGAAGGTTAGGATCTCCGTATTCTGCTTCGCCCAAGGCGGTTTCAATAATCGTAGCCGTCACACCAGTGCCACAAGAGCTGATGATCGATTTGGAGTCATCAATTTCTTTCTCTTCGAAGATTTTGCGCAGCTCAGATTTTGAGCGAAAAGTCTTCGTCTCCGGGTCCAGTAGTTCTTGGAAAGGCAAGCTCTTGGAGCCAGGAATATGGCCTGAAGACAATCCCGGGCGTGGTTCGGGATCCGTTCCCGCCCAGCGGCCGTAAGATCGCGCATCTAAGATCTCGACTTCTTTGGAACCTTCTTTCCTATGCTCTTTGGCAATCTCCTTCAACTCCAAGTACGGAATCACCAGTTTCGAATCGTAATTAGGTACCGGATAGCTGGTCCGTTCCACTTGCTGGGGTTCCCCGGTCTCTGTCGGGTACCCTTCGCGCACCCACAATCGGTAGTTGTCCAGGAGATGAACCCGAGGGTGTCCAAATACTCGCAGGGTCCAGCCGACACGGGGGGCGCTGAAGATTCCAAGCTCTTCGGTGTCGTAAACCACCACTTCGTCGTCACGCCGGATGCCAAGCTCGCTCATCGCATCGGCAAATGTCTCCGCGGTAGGAAGCATGTGCGGATACGGAGATTCTGCATCCTTGACCGCATCCAAGTCAAAGAATCGAGCCTGAGGGATGCGATGTTTCCGGAAAATGTCAATCCCTTTGCGGCCTTCCGGATCATTGGGCATAAACCATGCAGCACACAGGGGTACGACACGCGGTGAAGTCGAGATCTTGGTGGGAGGATTCTTCTTGAGGGCCTCACTGAGCTCCTTGGGAGAAACCAGGTATGAGGAGAAGGAAACCTGGCGACATTGGGATTGGAGTCGCGCTTGCGAAGGGGTCGACATGGTCGGACGAAGCAGGCGAGTGGGGGAAGGAATCGAATGGCGAAGAGCTGCAAAAGCCATCTTCGCAGCGCGGATTTACTGGGTGAAATATAGAGAGAATTGCAAGAGGATAATCAATATTTACATACCGAATCGGCAATAACGTCAGATGGTGTCATCTGATCGCGGGCGATAAGAATTTAAATAGGGATGTGTTAATTTAATGCAAGTGCACGGTGAGGGGAAAGTCCGGAGTATTCACTTTCCTATTTTATTTTTTTATTATTTTTATTATTTATCGGGCGTGCTAGGTCACTACTAGGTTAGTAGTCACGAATCATTTGGACCTAAAATGCGGAGTCGCCTGTAAACAAATCATTTTTCTCCGCCATGTGAAAAAACGAATTGGAAAAAGGTAACAAACCAGAAAAGGTCCGTTATCTTGCTTTTGGCTCCACTTACTACTTTCACCGACCACTTTTCCCTCCCTTCTTACTCGGAACAAGTTGGTCCACGTCCTCAAAACCAAACTACATCGCGATCGACCATGAAAGTCACTATTAAAGAGTGGAACGGGGTTGCCACTTGGCGTTGGGATATGCCTGCGGATGATGTTTGTGGTATCTGCCGCGTCCAGTTCGATGGGACTTGCCCGACTTGCAAATTTCCCGGTGATGATTGTTCACTATGTAAGTCTCTTAGTTCTATTTGCTAATATATATATATATAAACGGTGGCTTTCTGATTAACCTCGATGCAACTACAGTGCTGGGCAAATGTGGACATTCCTTTCATATGGTGCGATAGTGGATCTTGATATTGTCATGGATACAGAGACTGATGATTCACCTCTCCAGCATTGTCTGATGACTTGGATCCAACAAGAATCTTCGAAGGGTCTTTGTCCGATGTGTCGTCAAAGTATGCCATCCCTAAGTATGGGTTCTTTAAGGAAAACTGCTACTAACTATACACACAGAATTCGAATGGAAACAAGAAGATGATGAATAAGCACAAATACCATGCATCCCCGAAGCGACGATGGGAGAGGCGTTCAAGCTCGACGGATACGATACCCTTCTTTTAACATTAAATCGCAATTGTTTCTTTCTTTTTTTTTCCCCCTGTACAAAACAGAGCGTTATCAACACCGCATTCATGACTAGCTTCGGCACAGTCACCTGACCCATTGTTTATCGATAAGGGGGCAGGTGATCAAGCTTCACCTAAGCTTAAAGTGGAAGCCGAGAGCTTACAATTTCCCATTGCAATCCGCCCAACAAGGCCTTAATGTCCTTCCCTGTCACCTTCTAATCATGTAGCGCGGTCTATCAGAAATGTCTCTTCCAAAATATACCACACCCCCCTCCTTGTCGTCTTCGCCCTCTAAACAATCCATCCGGCGGACTACGGAGTCGAACGTCCCTTCACGCCCAGAAAGCACCATTGATCGACCTACCACAGCCCAACAGACTCACACCTTCTCCCAAGACCAACAAGTCTATGAGCCAATACCAAACATAACATCGCCACACTCGGAAAATGGAAGGCCACATGAGATATCCGCTTCACATCCGCCCCTTCAACCGTTCTTCACCCTGATTGAAGACGCCAGTACCTCCGAATACTACCACCCAACTGTTCACTATATCTTCTCCGATGACGACACAGATATCGTGACCGAGGCAGCCTTACGCTCCTTGGAGCCTGAACAAGATACGCAGCCTCGTGGCGGCAAGGGAAACTCCAGGTCCACACGTGACCAGCACCCGCAGGGTGAAGGAGAGGAGGATGAACTGTCGAATGAGAGAAAGGAATCATTGCTTCCACCTCCGGTACCTGGTGTCCGGGATAATTACATCATTCTCGATATGGATGTGCTTGGTCTAGATGATATGCAACACATGAGTACCGCCCCCGGGCACGACGTCAGTGTCGGCTCCCCAGGAACCCAATCCGCCGTCCCCCAACAACAGCAGGATTCCCAGAACCACAACCAACACGGTCAAAAATTCGCAGTCACTTCAGCTCACAGTTTGACACCGACATGGCAAGTTCTAAATACTCAACTAGTGCCCGCCCCGACCTTTGAGAACAATCCTTCCGGCGAGCACTCACCGAATGGTGCCCTGATGTTGAAAATTCAAGGAACAGTTGGCTTACCTATGACTCTGCCTGGTAAGGATAAAGACAAAGATAATAGCACCCAACGATTGGAGGATATGATGGAGCAATTTTCGAAACGTTTGGGCGAGCTCCGGCAAGTCATTAAAGCTGGAGAGCAAGCATACTTACCGGGAAATGTTGATGAGGAACATATACCAACTGAGCCGCCAAACACGGAGGATACTACTGTGGCAAACCCCGAGGGTCAGAATGAAACCCTAACGCAGAATGGGGATGATATGGTCGGCAAAAGCCCATAGCCTTAGTTGGTATACTCATTGGTGCAAACGGAACCATAGCCCTTGGCGAGCCGCGCTTCTCACCTAAATTTGCAGCCTAGCCTGTTACACGCCAGAATTCGATCAGTAGGCGAATTGAAAGAAAATTACGTGAGGTCGTCCAGACGGTGTAACAAACTAGATGGTCCAATCTCATTATCATAACCCCAGACCTTGTGTCTATAATAGCACCACGAAGAAGCGTATCACACGTAGCACCAAAGTAGCTTAATCACCAGGACATGATCCGATTATGGAGCGCAAACATGAAAATGGTGAGCAGTCGACCCCGTAACAACGCCCGCAGTGTTAACAATCTCCGGATGGTGAAACGAAACCAGTTCCCGTCGCATGTCCGGAGAACCTATATCCAACTGGTCCAGGATCTCAACCACAGCCGAATAAAGGATTCCTTTGTTTCCATCCTCGATTTTAACTGCAAGTCCCATTGCACCATCTACTCCAAGTCTTCTGGTATACTCTGAAGCTCGTATGCCGATCGCATAACACCCATCGGCCCCAACTTTTCCAATGAGTGATCCCCGAAACACCTGCATAAGCACCGTACAGAACCTCCCCTCTCCACCAACAAGCTCAGGGTACCGCGCCATGGCGTTGAAGATTCGCGCCATGTTTCTTTCTTTCCCAGAAGCGTTCCCAGCATCCTCAACAACATCCGCTGCCTCCGCAAATGCAGCATAGATCTTCGCCATATTCCGTAACGGAAACGCAGGCGCCGGCAAGTTACACCCATCAACCCCCCATAACACACCTTCCGGTCCAGTCTCAAGCCCCGCCAACTCCTCCACTGCCTCTCTGACCCTCCGCTGCAGCGGATTACAGGGCAGATGATAATCCTGAATCTCCGCCCCTAACGCCATCGCGCCGCCAAGCATACCAGCATGTTTCCCCGAGCAGTTATTCGTGATCGCCGTCGGCGTATAATCCCTTTTAATCCACTCCCGATTCACCGTCTCGGATAACGCATCATGGCCGCCGCAGCGGAGATCCTTTTCCTCCGCGGAAACCTTTCGGAGCATGTCCCGAGCCCGGGAAAGATGTCTGTCTTCGCTATTGTGCGAAGCGCACATGAGAGCAAGGTCGGCTTCATCGAAGCTGAACTTTTCCAGCGCCCCGGTGGAGATGACGGCGAGGGCTTGGGCTGGTTTGGCGGCAGAGCGGACCAGCGTTATCCGGGACGGATCGCCGACGCTGTACAGGAGTGTCCCGTCGGCAGAGACTATCGCGGCGTGGACTTGATGGCGGTTTTCGGTTATGCCGTTCCGGTCGGTTGTTATGTAGTCTTTTAACTTGCCCATTGTGGTTTTTTCTTAGTTGTATTGACTGCAGGTCAACTCCGGGCGAGAAACGATGAAAATGATTGGGAAACGAAAGGCTGCAAGTGATTTAACGACCATACAGATAAATAAGAACCCTTACATCTACAACATAATCTACGGGATAGAATGGACATCGAATAGTAGTACCAAATATGGTAAGACCTGCGACCCCACTATTTCCTACGTTGCATTGCATGAGATTCGCTATGGGTCCCTCTAGCCCACCTCATTGTGTGTTGGAACTTGGCAGTGAATAAGCACTTGCTGGGTTCTGGGCAAAAAGGCAGGGCTTGCGGCTAGGTGCGGTTGGCCTGTTACCGAATGTCGGCTAACAAACATTAGTAGTTATGCGGCAGGGTATAAGCATAGGTTAGATTTAATGAGATTACAAGGTTGCTATTGTGAACAGTATGTTGTGTTTGTAGCACCAGCCCGCCCATGCCCCCTATTCTATTCTAATTTCAAAGCAGTTTCTCACGCTTTCAATCCACCAACTATGGGTATAAAAAGAGGCAGACTATGCCATTGTCGGAGGTGGCACCTCTGGTCTAAATTGAGTGCGCCTGACTCGACGTGGGAGAAGTTATCACCGTACTATCAGAAATGATACTGTCTAAAGTTCCCTGGCGAAGCCACTAGGGAGCGTATCGGCGTGAGCTGGGTGAACCAGAAGGTCAACGGGAACTCCGGTCCGATTCATGTCTCCTTTCCTGCTGTACTTCAAGATCCATCGTCCAAGGCCCCGGTCGATACCTTCAAAGTAATTAGATATGGTCTTACTGCCGATCCATTCTCTGGCACCCGTCGACTGTCAGACAAAGACACAGGCGATCCTCTCCCGCGCCAAAAGCAGGAAGAAGTGCAAAATGCCATGTACGTGTATGCAATTTCGACGGTTATAGCAAAGCCTCAAAAACCACGACATACAATGGCCCGGAAAATCCGGGTTCCAATCTAGATACTTCGAAGAAACGGGAAACGGACCAGAGGTCCTGGAGTTCCGACACAAGTTACTTCCCGATAAGCACAACATGCAAGCTTTACAGTTTTACAGTGCGTTATCCTTATAAGCATGTACAAAGCTCAGTCAAAAGTACTGAAATATCGATTAACATGAATATCAGGAACTGACTTTCCGATATTAACCCAAAACAAGCCAGATAGGTATCATATGAGCCCCGCCCAGAAAACGCCAAATTGCAAAAGAAGACCTTAAGACTGCCCCAGAGAACAACCTAAAACCAGTGTGCAAACAAAGGATCCCCGTACGCCGAGTTAGCCAGCAAGATGGTGCAGAGCATCCTTCCCTAAACACCTAGTTGCCAAGGCCCTTTACCATAACGCCCATATATCCCAAACGACGGAAGGGTATAAAAGTTGAGAATAGCAACTATAGGAGAAATCGTTTGGCTGAACATCTCAAGGAGCAGGTCGAGTTCTAGTTCGTCGAGCACTCGAAAGCCCGGGTGGAGGGACATTCTCCCGGCCTTCCATCATTCCCGCCATCCTCTTGGTCAACATGTTCTTCGGCAGTTTGCTGTCGGTAGTTGTCAGATTGGAGCAGCGCCTCTTGGCTGGAGGCTCATCTGAGTCTTCACTTGCCGGGACAGTGTCGACATCCGAAGATTTGCCGGCTACGGAAATATTCGATTGCCGCATCGATGCCCTATCACCGGGGCTAGACGCGAGCTGTTTTGCGGCGACGTTTGCATCGACTTCCCTAAGACCTGTGTTGGAAGTGATCCTGGCTGTAGGTGTCTGATTCCCTACCTCGTCTTCGGTATCGTTGTAAACAAAGCCCTTAGTAGGGGAGGTTCCAGGAAGGTGGTCTTCGCCATTGAACGGGAGTAGCGTGAGCTCCCTTGATGTCCGAATCCCGGATATCAGAGCGTCGTGCGCCTCAGTCCGAGGAAGATCACTGGGATACTCGTAATGCCGTTTCTGCGGGGTAGCGCCAGTGACCATATACTCTTGTAGTGGACGACTGTGAACATTGTTGCGCAGCTCTGTGAGAGGCTTGCGGACTTCTTCTGACAAAGGAGAGGTCGCCTCGAGAAGACTCTGCTGTTGCTGAGCGGCGTCCTGTTGCAGCTCGCTCATTCGAGTACCAACCCCTTCCAATTGTTCATGAACGAAAGAATAGGACTCACGGACGCTAGACCCCATGTTATCCAAGCTGGAAATATGGGCATCGCGATACTGGCCATTCTGGGAGCGTGCTTTAGCCACGAAATCGTCCAAGGCTTCCATCTGGTTGCCCATATTACTCATCTGAGCATCGACAATGCGAACTGTTTCCTCGTGCACGGACTCGGTCGTCTTTTGAATAGAGGCGTTGCGTTGGTCAAATGTTTCCCAATCGTTCTGCATCTTAGTCCGAAGCTCATCCCTAGAAGCCGCAACATCCTTGGCGAATTGCTCCGACTTGAAAACCCATTCATCTGTCTGACGATCATGTTGGGTCGTTGCTTGCTCCAGTGCATCGCCCGAAGACGAGATATCTGCTCGTACACCTTCCAATCTTCCTTTTAAGCGACTAACTTGTCTCTGCCGGGATTCATCCATCAAAGCCTTGAACTGTGAAAGCAAAAGATCTCGCTCCGATTCAGCGGTTGCGTGCTCTTCTTCAACAGCATGTGCCAAATTAGAAGAAGCTCTACGGTTGGCTTCGACGGTCTGGATGTTTGCTTCTTGGACTTCCAGTCGCAGCCTATTGATTTCTGTTTTCTGCTCATTGAGATGCCGCACCATCTCCTCGAACAAGGACTTGAAGTCCTTGCCAAGAGTGCTGTAGGAAGAATGAAGCTGTTCATGAAACTCTGTGAACTCGCCAATAACTTCCTTGGATATCCGGGCAGCGGCAGCAGACAGACCGTTCAATCCCTCTCCAACTTTGCGCTTGACCTCTTCACGCAAGTCCTTGATCTCCTCGAGGACCTCATTCATCTGATCGTGGGCGCCGTATGTTTGCGTCTTCGCGTCGCGCTCAGCCTTATCAAATATATCACTAAAGCTCGACAACGCTGACTGGTTGGACTGGACATGACTCAGTTCGCTAGAGACGTAATTGTTGATTTTTGCAGCCATAGATTCCAGGAGCTGTGAATGTTGCAATTGGAAAGCCTCCACTTTTCTGTCAACTTCCTCGGTGACAGCTGACACTTCTTTGGCTGACGTTTGCCATGTTTCCATGTTAGATGAGTCCAGATCCGCCTTTCGGTCAAGTTTTGCATGCAACCCATCCACATCTCCAACAGTTCTATCTAGTGTCGACAAAAGTCCCGTACCAATGTCGTAAAGCTGGTTCTCGGTATCTTGATGCGCCTTCCTTAGCATTTCCTCTTCTTCTAGCAGTGACCTGGTATTCTTGAGAACAATCTCAGTTTTTTCAAGGACATCATTTGTATCACTCAGAGCCATCCGTGTATCCTCATTATCCTTCTTCAGGTTATTGAAATTGCTCGTGAGCGTGAACAGCTCCTGGACCTTGTTTCGCAGGTTGGATTCCATTGATTCGATCTTAGCTCGTTGTTCTTCATTAACTATTCTCCGGGATTCATTCTCCATGGTCATCTGCTCGTACGCGTCGACAGACATATATACGCCATTTCGGTGTCTTGTAGCAATAAGTTCTCCTTTGAGTTTCTCGATCTCAAAAGCGAACTCTTGAAGAAGCTTATGTTTCGAAGTGAAGTTAATCTGCGGCTTGTTGCGAATGTTCTTGGCTCTAAAGGCATAGTCTAGCGTTGAGATGGTTTCTTCCATGTTGCTCCGAGACGGCGAGACCGTTGCGATAATACATGTTTTTGTGCGCCCACCCAGGGAGTCTTGCAAAAGACGTGTAAGTTTTGATTCTCTGCTACAAGTTAGTAAATGTTGAACATTTGTACTCTAGATTCTTACCTGTATGGGATGTGGGGGCTCTTATCGACCAAAGCGTTGATTACTCGGCCCAAAGTCAACAGACTTTTATTGATCAGACCGGCTTCTGTGGCACGCTTGTTCTCAGCTCCACTGCGCTGGATATTTTCGCTACCAGCCAAATCAACCAAATTGAGCTTTCCAGAGCTGACATAATCTTCGCCTGCATCGGTTGTCCGCTTTGTATGTACTGTAATTGTGAAGATTGTGTGACTGCGAGAACTCAGGTCGTTGCACTTGGTCGCAGCAACTTGCCGCTTATGGCTACCATGTTGAAGCAGCTTGATGCCGGAAGAGGCGGAGTCAATATATGTTTCTTCAATACCTTGGACAAGCGTGCTCTGTCCTTTCTTTGACTCGTTCTCGAAAATCTTCAGCTTCTGAGTCTCTTCCGCTGACAGAAGATCTCGAAGTTCTTCATTGTATAGCTCAATGAAAGAGCATTTCACGGTGCTTTCCGTCTCCTCGAGCTTGTGGAACAGCGAATACAGAACACGTGGAATAATGCCGGCATTGTCGGAAAGGATACCCAGAGTATCGGTCATGTCGCCTGACATTGTGTACGTTTTCCCGGTCCCCGTTTGTCCGTACGCAAATATAGTGCAGTTGTATCCAGCGAGCATCTCATTGACAATCGGCAGGACAACATCCTCGTATACTGCAAGCTGGTCGGCGGCGGCGGAAAAGACCTTGTCGAATGTGTATGTCTTATTTGAAACGGCATTTGGCCCCATGGATAGTTCCACAGTGTTCCCCTTAACACCTTCCGTTTTGACGACGACACCACTATTCTCTTTAATCTCCCGATCATTGCGGCCGCGGCAGCGCACTACAACGTGAATGCTGGTGTCTTCATTTATCCCACGTTCGAGATCTCTTTCCTTCCTCTTTGCTGCTACGCTAGCCGGTTCACTCGGTGATTTGATTGCGCGCGATCCACCCGAGGCAGGAATTTTGGACGAAATTGACGGAGAGTTGACCCTCTCGGTTGCTGAAGATCCTAATCGCCTGGTTGGTTGACGTGTGGTTGTTGTCCTCCTTGTAGGGAGGCCGGAGGCAGGCCTTTGGGGGCCAGCCATTATGAATAAGTCTCACTGGCAAACTCGCTTCCACAATAACTTGAAAAGATGAATATGTAATTAAATGGGTGCGACTGAATGTGATGTCGCGCCACTTTGATATGTCCAGGAGAAGTCAGCGACTTCCCGGGAAGGCCCAGAAAGGAAAATGTAAACAAACTAACAACATACATGCACGTGCCCGTAGGTGGTCTGTGCTCAGGAGTCATGCCGGCATTTCACATGATCTATGCGTTCATCGTTATCCTCCATATTGATATCTATTCTCTACCACTTGAGCATTTGTTAATCCATACTTGGTGTATATTCACTGCTAGTGTTATTATACTTCTTTGGTTTCAGGAATTTAGATCCTAAGATACCCACGATCAGCGACGTTCAGCCAGCAGTCTACATCCGCCACCTCATGATGAGAACGGATTACAAGCCACTATGAGTTCCTCGGCCAAATCGTCGACGCAAGCCCAGATCCTTCCAGGGAAAGGGTTGGGATCTATAAGCATGTTACCATACTATCTTGCGGCTTTTGAATGTGGCTAACATTTGTCTATCAGCACTTGGCGCTTCGCTCCATAATGTACTCAGTCGTATCAAAGCCCATCCCCAGACCTACCCCGCAATAGACATCGCCTACTCCTCTACAGACCCCATTCGAGAGCCAGTAACCCTACAACTATCCTCAAATGGTCTCCGACTGCGCTTCGACGGTCCCGATCAAAGATTACGTCTGATTGAAGTACTCGACTTCACCAAGATCCCCCTAGTGTATAAAAACCAGGAAGTTTTGAAAGGGGGCAAACCGCAGGAACGGGCTGTCTCGCACCAGGGTCCTAGTTTCGGACATATCTACCATCGCCTATTTGGTCTTTCCTATCCAGGCGAATACAGACCTCCGACTAATCAGTCACCATACGGCACATATGTATTGTCATACCCCGGGGTGGCCTTCTCGTTTCCCCTCCAACACTCGGCTTGGTCAGACCAGTGTGATTTTGTAGCGTTGCTTTCTTCCTCGGCAGCCTTGCCAGCCACTTCCATGGCGATCTTTCAGGGTGACTCCTGGCCCGAAGCCAGGGGAGATTGTTCACTCAAGAGCAAAAGTATCCTCGAAACCCGGCCCTGGCGGGCAAGAACAGAGAATCTGTGCCAGATGAGATTGAAGAGTTCAATATCCTAGGTGCAGGTAAAATTGAAATCGTTCGGAGATCATCCCCTACCAGCTACATCACGCTGTCGGAAACCACCCCGCAGGATCTTGTGGCAGAGTTCGGCCCGCCCGACGCCATTTATCGTAAACATGATAGGAGGATAACAATCCACCGCGCTGCTGGCGGGGGTGGTGAAGACCATATTCACATGAGTCCGCCTCCAGGTAGAGGAATTGACGTGACTGATACCGATCAGTCGTCGAATAACAGTGGCACTGAAGATTCAGACGAAGAACTCTATCAACCCCATAATTTGGACCCATCATCGCTACCAACAGAATGCTTCCTGAATTATTTCCATCATGGGTTCGATGCATTCGTATCTTACCCTACTACCCCTGGGCCTGCGTTTCCAGGATCCGAACTTCAGGACCCATCCCCTCCGTCTCCTTCCACTCAGCTGGTAGTGACTAAGATTGTTCTGCATGGAAACGTGCCAGGATCATATCCGTTCAATCGCCATCGGCGCAGTCGTTGGAAGATAAAGCTAGACTCATCTGGGAATGCAGTCACTTCAGAAACCCGCTACGATGATATCTCTGAGCGGCTTAGAGAGGTCTGGAAGGGCTCTTACGCGAACCCTGCCGAAGAGCGAGCCTTACAGAGGCCTATGGTACTGAATCGAGGATGGGGCGATAGTCCTGAGAGTAGCGTGGAATTCCTTGGTGGATGGGAAGAGAGTACAGGTAAAGGTCAGAGGCCTGGACAGGATAGTCACGATGGAGGTTTAGGGAACACCGAGCTCTTTGGCTTTCCTGGTCTGCTGTTTGAGGTTATGAAGAACAGTGCAGTTAGCTGCTTGACCGTATATTAATTGCCACATTGGTCAGCACACGGAGTTTGGGAAACTGTATTTATATTAGCTAGTTCGGGTATATTGAGTTAATGCATTTCAAAATCATCAAGACGCTTCATGAGAAAGATTTCTCCGATACACTGTTTTTGTTATTCGTTTTGCTTGCAATAGGCAGGAGTATGATTGGACAAACGTTGTAAATATGGTAACGTAAATTACATACCTTACCCGGGGCCGCAGTGAGTTCCGTCTCTAAATCTCCACCATTTCATCTCGCACACATAGCGGACCAACTCAGAGGCTGACATGCTTCAGCGGTAGTATGCCGGAATTGTCGCGGTCGCTTACTCGATCGTGGTCGTCGACGCTCAAACTCCCTAAGTCGACGTTCCCTGCACGCGTGACCCCGGCCGATCAAGCAAAATACCTACGACGATGCACTGACGAGCTCTACGCCTGGCAACGCCGTGAAAGACCGGCCGATAAGCCCTTTGTCTTACACGATGGCCCGCCATATGCTAACGGCGAGCTTCATGTCGGGCATGCGCTGAACAAGATCTTGAAGGACCTTATTTGCCGAGTACAGTTGGGACTCGGAAAACGAGTGCGATATGTCCCAGGGTGGGATTGCCATGGATTACCGATTGAGTTGAAGGCACTTGAAGCCCAGAAGGGACTGAAAGATGCGGGGGGGTCTGTCAGTGCGGCAGTCATACGAAAGGAAGCACGGGCACTGGCAAGACGGACAGTCAAGGAACAAATGAAGGGATTTCGCAGCTTCGCGGTCATGGGCGATTGGGAAAACCATTGGAAGACTATGGATAAGGAATTCGAGAAGAGACAGTTAGGAGTATTTCGCGAAATGGTTGATAAGGGCTTGATCTACCGAAGGTTTAAGCCCGTCTATTGGTCACCCTCCACCGGCACAGCGCTCGCAGAAGCAGAATTGGAATACAAAGACGATCATGTTTCTACTGCTGCTTTGGTCAAATTTCCCCTGCTTTCGATTCCCTCGCACTTAGCGCAGAACCCGTTGCTACAGGTCAAGGATCTTACTGCTGTTATTTGGACTACGACTCCCTGGACGCTCCCCGCCAATGCCGTAATTGCTGTCCATCCAGATCTGGAATACACGATTGTTCAGTCAGACACCCATGGCCATCTTCTTGTCGCGCAATCCCGGTTACAATATCTTGAAAATGTCCTCAAGGAAGACCTATCTGTGATCATTCCATCGGTCCTTGGCTCAGAGCTGGCAGATCGGACAACGTATCGGCCTCTGTTCAAGGGGGCTGATGCAGAGCCTCAGCCTATAATTGCCGCTGACTTCGTCACCGCCGACTCTGGATCAGGTCTTGTTCATTGTGCCCCAGGCCACGGTATGGAAGACTACGAAGCTTGCCTCTCCCGCGGAATTACTGCATTTGCGCCAGTTGATGATCATGGCCGATTCACCGACAAGGCTATGCCCAGTGACCCTACAAGATTAAGCGGTAAGAGCGTTTTGGATGAAGGTAACGCTGCTGTTCTCGAGTACATCGAATCGCAAGGACATCTTCTTACGAAGCATCAGTATGAACATAAGTATCCCTATGACTGGCGATCTAAGCGTCCCATCATTATCAGGGCTACTGAACAATGGTTTGCCGACGTGGCCGACATTCGTGAGAGTGCAGTCAAGGCTTTGGAGGATATCCGTTTTGTTCCAGCTTCCGGAAGACAACGGCTAGAGAACTTCGTGAAAAATCGAAGCGAATGGTGCATCTCACGTCAGCGTGCTTGGGGCGTGCCTATCCCTGCTCTCTATCATCGGGTCACGGGCGAAGCTGTGCTTACGAAGGATTCTGTTTCGCATATTATGTCCGTTATAGATGAGCGTGGCATTGACGCTTGGTGGACGGATGATGCAAATGATCCTGCCTGGATTCCAGCATCCCTCCAAGAGACGCCTGGGCCCGGATACAGGCGTGGAACAGATACTATGGACGTATGGTTCGACAGCGGTACCAGCTGGGCTGAAATTGATGAGCCGTATCGTGATGGGTACCCAGCCGATGTTTACTCAGAAGGCACTGACCAACATCGCGGCTGGTTTCAGTCAGGTCTTCTCACATTTACAGCCCACCAGCTCGCTGCAGGACAGACGGCTACTCGCGCACCGTTCCGAAACCTTATCACCCATGGATTCACACTGGATGAGGAAGGTCGCAAAATGAGCAAGTCTATTGGTAATGTTTTGCATCCTCAGACTATCATGGACGGAACCCTTCTGCCTCCTCTCAAGCCAAGGAAGGGGAAGAAAAAGCAATCGGAGAATCAGGGACCCATCTATGATGCCCTCGGTCCTGATGCGCTTCGTATGTGGGTCGCGAGCAGTGATTATACCCGCGACGTGGTGATTGGGAAGCAGGTTCTTCAAACCGTCAATACAAGCTTGCACAAGTACAGAGTGACCTTCAAGCTCCTGCTTGGCGCTCTTTCGGACTTCCGCTTAGACAATCAGGTTCCATATACTCAATTACAGCAAGCCGATCGGATAGCGCTCAAGCATTTGTCCGAGATGATCCTTTCTTGTCAGAAGGCTTGTGATAACTTCGAATTCTATAAGGCTGTGAATGCTCTGAACCGCTGGGCTAATCTCGAATTTTCTGCGTTCTACATGGAAGCTATTAAGGATCGACTGTATACCTATGGAGAGAACAGCGCCAGTAGACGCGCTGCGCAGACGACCCTGTTCCATATTTATCGCCATCTTCAAGAAGCATTAGCTCCCATTACTCCCATGCTCGTGGAAGAGACCTGGGAGCACACCCCTGAAGCCATCAAGTCGCAGTGCGAGCATCCTTTGAAGCGTGTTGTGTCTGTGCCTGCCTCGGAGTGGCAAGACAACTCCCTTGAGACAGACTACCAGGACCTTGTTGCTGTCCACTCAGTTATTAAGAATGCTCAGGAAACGGCCCGGGGCAAGAAGGAAATGGGTTCATCTCTCCAGTCCTTTGCCCACATTGTTCTTCCTCGGGGCGTCAGCAACTCCGTATTCCAGCGATCTTTAACTGAGCTTCCCGATATCTTTGTTGTCTCATCCGTCACACTTGGAACCGCTGGCGAGCCAATTCCGGCTACCATTGCAGAAGCGGAATGGCAATACAGCGAGGACTATGAACTTCCTAGTGGAGAAAAGGGCACCGTATATGTTTATACCCCACAGGCTGGCAAATGCCCGCGGTGCTGGCGCTATGTTGTCCCAGAATCGCAGGCTGAGGAGTCTGTTTGTGATCGCTGTGAGAACGTTGTCAGTGAGCTTGATGCGTCTGCAGCGGCTAAGGCGCTCGATTCGCCGTAGGTCGGAGTGGCCAGGTCATGTTTCTAATTTTGTATAATAGTAGTGTAGTATATCCCAAAAGGAGAGAATCTCATCTATACCATAATTCCAGGGGTAGTTGATGTCGCATCTTTGTGTAACAATGGATCGTAATGATATATATTTATGGAGATGCTATAGAAGCACGTGCAGCGAGGCACATGATCGACATAGCTGTCACGTTCCCCAGTCTACATTTAACAAACCAGTCCTAAACCCGCATTTGACATGCCCGGGGGTTTGTTTACCGGGTATAAAACTCTGGCAGCTTGTAGTGATCTTCTTTGACGTTTTGACGTCCATACTTAGTGCGGTCGTTCCTCCGAGGCAAATTGGTTGATCGGATACCGGCGATCTTCCCGCCGAGTAGGGCCCGCAATTACTAAGTAAAGCAACCAATAACTAGTTAGTTAATTTGTTGCAATCTTGTCGGGTCTGGAACTTGGACCCTTCCGAAGTCATGATGCGGCTCCAACGGCGACCGTTAGTGCTGAAAGACGAACACAGCCTCATCAGGGATATATGTGTACTTGCAGGGGTTTACGGATGTCTGCAGATTCTTCTCCGGATGGATATAATCAAGAGTATGCAGGAGCGAACTTCGACGTTGCTACTAGTAGGAGGTCCCAGATCACCACTTCATGCCGAGTATAATCGTTGTCCATGCCAAGTCGCCAGCCTTACGGTCTGAAACAACCGAGGCATTACCGGAAAAGGGTCCGTCTCCGAATTTGACAGGCGCCCAGGATACCGCTGTTAAAATTGCACAACGGGAATCAATGATGGATGGAAGCTTAAATAAACAGGCTTATTGACCGGCAAACAAGACCCTGTGGCGGCGTCTGTTGTAGATGGCTGTTCATACTGCGTAGTTCCCTCCGTGGATGGCGCTAGTGGTTCGCTATTTATACAGATTGCGTCGATTTTGATAGGAGCACGTCACGACTCGGAAAGGAAAGGAGCAAAAAGAGAAAAAGAGGATATGAAAAAGGCTGACGCGACCTAATCTGGAGGCCGTTACGGAGCATACGGAGGTTCCGATCCATCGCTTCATGCTATGAAAGTGGCCGTGAACTCTCGGGACTGCAACGGAGGTGCACTGTAGCCGCTCTCCGAGTGGGTCCCCTTGGAGATCCATGGGCATGATTTCATCGGCCAAGCCACACCAACAAGACTTCTTTTCAGCCCGGGTACTCGGGATGTGCCACTTCCGAGTCCAAATCCGGAGCCCTCGACTGCCGTCGGGTCCACTGGTAGACTTTGCAAACGAGTAGTTCATTTGATTCATCAGAATGGATCGCGTCCCTTGGTGCTAATCTTGGTTCGATTGGAAACTAGTTAGTTACTTATCCCCGCTTACTAACGGATTTCCATGAAGACTATTGGCGAGGATCATTATAGCGCCATGGTCGTTCCGGATTAGGAGGGGTACGATGGAGCTGCCACAGGGGAAAGGGCCACGTTTTTAGGCACCAAACATTCGGATCTAGATCTCCTTTCTCTTGATTTCCTACTCGGGTATGGAGGTTTTCGCTCCCGAGCATTACCCTATGGTGGGGGGCCTCAAAATCTATGAAACCGTAGATAATGAATATAAAGAGTAGGGCAACCTCGTTGCCATTCTGGGGTCTGTGTGTTTTCATCCCTCGAGTCAGCGGAGGCAGTACAGAATTAATTATATTAACATCGATATTAAAACTAATCAGAATAATAGCGATTCAGTGCAACTGAAGAGCGCGTACACCATTTTAAGGTTCACCTCGAGGCCTTCAAAGTCTTCTGCGTGCCCGGCAAGGATTCCGACGCCATGGCTTCGCACAAGAAGAGTGAGGACCCCTTGTTCGACAGGGACCGACAGGACCAGGAATGTGACAGCAGTGATTCGACAATAGCATCAGATCATGTCTCGGAATCTCGGTCCCCCATGGGGTTAATCGATGAGGAGGGAATCGAAACCCTCAATCGCATCGCCTCCCAAAGCTCACGTCGTCGGTCGAGTGTCTACCCCCCAATGTCCCCACGAGAACCTCTACTTTGGGTACGATTTCCGAAAATGATCCAGCCGTTGATCCTCAAGGGCCCTCGTTCGATCTTAACAAGTGGCTGAAGATGGTTCTTCGGGAATCCGAAAGACAAGGCAGAGAAAGCCACCGGACAGGCATCGTCTTCAAGAATTTCACGGTATCTGGAACCGGAGCAGCACTGCAGCTCCAGGACACAGTATCATCCATGCTATCCGCACCCTTTCGCATCGGCGAGATGATGAAAAATCGACGCTCGCCTTCGAAGCGGATTTTGAATGAGTTTAATGGCTTGCTGGAGAGCGGTGAATTGCTTCTCGTCTTGGGTCGTCCAGGATCTGGATGTAGTACTTTCCTCAAATCTCTATGTGGCGAGCTCCACGGTCTGTCTTTGAGCAAAGAGAGCGTTATCCATTATGATGGTACAGTTTCCCCTATGCTTGCGGATCTTAGCGTATGCCACTGACCAGGATGTGACAGGAATCCCTCAGCAACGAATGATCAAGGAGTTCAAGGGTGAAGTGGTGTACAACCAAGAGGTAAGAGCCTCTTGTGGGTTGGATATTTAATTAGAGGCTGACCCGAATAAAAATTGCAGGTGGACAAGCACTTCCCTCATTTAACCGTCGGCCAGACGCTCGAATTTGCCGCCCTGGCGAGAACTCCAGCTCAACGAATCCGTGACATGTCCCGCGAAGACTTCGCCAAGCATATCACCCAGGTCATCATGGCCGTTTTTGGTCTAAGCCACACCTACAATACCAAGGTCGGAAATGACTTCGTCCGCGGAGTATCGGGTGGTGAACGGAAGCGTGTCAGTATCGCGGAGATGGCTTTAGCTCACTCTCCCTTAGCTGCATGGGATAACTCCACCCGAGGCTTGGATTCCGCAACGGCATTGAAGTTTGTGGAGGCACTACGCCTATTTGCCGACCTCACCGGGTCTGCACACGCAGTGGCGATCTACCAGGCTAGTCAGAGCATCTACGACATCTTTGACAAAGTAGTTGTCCTTTACGAGGGACGTCAGATCTACTATGGCCCTGCGAAGTCTGCTAAGTCTTACTTCGAACGACAAGGATGGGAATGTCCTCAGCGACAGACCACGGGAGACTTTTTGACTTCGGTGACCAACCCCAGTGAACGTAAAGCACGTCCGGGTATGGAAAACCAAGTTCCACGCACTGCTGAAGACTTTGAAGCGTATTGGCGCAAATCCCCAGAATACCAGAAGCTCATGTCCCAGATTTCCAGCTATGAGCAGCAACATCCGCTGGAAGAGGATGGTGCCGCCCTTGCAACTTTCCAGCAGAAGAAGCGCGAGATTCAAGCGAAACATACTCGCCCGCAGTCACCGTATTTGCTTAGTGTGCCCATGCAGATCAAGCTCAATACGAAGCGAGCCTACCAACGAGTGTGGAACGATATCTCTTCTACTGTGTCAACTGTTATTAGTCAAATTATCATGGCTCTGATTATCGGATCCGTGTTCTACGGTACCCCGGATGCAACTGCAGGCTTCACTGCCAAAGGCGCCACCTTGTTCTTCGCGGTCTTACTCAACGCTCTTATTGCAATGTCGGAAATCAACAGTCTTTACTCGCAACGCCCAATTGTGGAAAAACATAACTCATATGCCTTCTATCATCCAGCCACCGAGGCTATTGCTGGCGTGGTTAGCGATATACCGGTCAAGTTCATCATAGCAGTCGTGTTCAACCTTATCCTCTACTTCATGGCAGGACTTCGCAGAGAGGCAGGGCAATTCTTCCTCTACCTGCTGGTCACATTCATCGTGATGTTCGTGATGAGTGCCGTCTTCCGTACGATGGCGGCTATCACCCAAACAGTCTCGCAAGCAATGGGGTTGGCAGGTATATTGATCTTGGCTCTGATTGTCTACACGGGGTTTGTGCTTCCTGTTCCTTCCATGCATCCTTGGTTCGAATGGATTCATTATCTCAGTAAGTAAAAGGAATTCCAAACATCCTATATATGTCACTAATTTCGAATCAGATCCTATCTTTTATGCATTCGAGATGCTAATTGCCAACGAATTCCACGGACGTGATTTTATATGTTCGCAATTTATCCCGGCCTACCCTAGCTTGAGTGGTAACTCGTTTGTATGTTCGTCTCCTGGCGCCAAAGCTGGACAGCGTGCCATCAGCGGGGATGATTATATACAGGTGAACTACCAGTATAGCTACGGGCACGTATGGCGCAATTTCGGCATCTTGATTGCCTTCCTCATCGGGTTCATGTTGATTTATTTTATTGCCACTGAGTTGAATTCGTCTACCAGCAGCACTGCCGAAGTTTTGGTCTTCCGTCGTGGACATGAGCCGGCATATTTGCGCACCGACTCAAAGAAAGCCGATGCTGAGAACGCAGTGGAACTCAGTGCGATGAAGCCAACTACGGAGTCGGGTGAAGGGGATCTGTCTATCATACCACCACAGAAGGACATCTTCACTTGGCGAGACGTTTGCTATGATATCGAGATCAAGGGTGAACCCCGACGGCTATTGGACCATGTTTCTGGATGGGTCAAGCCAGGCACGCTGACTGCTCTCATGGGTGTCAGTGGTGCAGGTAAAACCACTTTGCTGGATGTACTGGCGCACCGAACTTCCATGGGTGTTATTACAGGTGACATGTTCGTGAATGGCCGAGACCTCGACCAAAGCTTCCAGAGAAGCACCGGCTATGTTCAGCAGCAGGATCTGCATCTTGAAACTGCTACTGTCCGCGAGTCTCTCCGGTTCAGCGCTCTCCTTCGTCAACCCCCTAATGTCTCCATCCAGGAAAAGTATGACTATGTGGAGGACGTGATCCGCATGTTGAATATGGAAGATTTCGCCGAAGCAGTCGTCGGTGTGCCCGGCCAAGGATTGAACGTTGAGCAACGCAAATTGTTGACCATCGGTGTGGAACTGGCTGCGAAGCCTAAGCTCTTGCTCTTCTTGGACGAACCCACTAGGTAAACACTCCACCCTCTGCAAATTTTATCTCTTTTACTGACCTGATTCTAGCGGTCTTGATTCCCAGAGTTCTTGGGCTATTTGTGCATTCCTCCGGAGGCTTGCTGACAGCGGGCAAGCGGTTCTCTGTACCATTCATCAGCCTAGCGCAATTCTTTTCCAGCAGTTCGATCAGCTCCTGTTCCTTGCACGTGGTGGAAAGACGGTCTACTTTGGTCCAATTGGAGAGAATTCTAATACTCTCCTTAACTACTTCGAATCAAATGGGGCACGGAAATGTGCTGATGACGAAAACCCGGCTGAGTGGATGCTGGAGATTGTTAACGCTGGCAAGAACTCCCAGGGTGAGAACTGGTTTGACGTTTGGAAGCGAAGCAGCGAGTGTCAAGGCGTACAGACCGAGATCGATCGGATCCACAGGGATCAGCAGGCGAAGACGCAAGCCAGTAACGGAGACAACGAAGCCTGGAGCAAGTCAGAATTTGCCATGCCATTCTGGTTCCAGTTATACCAGGTTACCTATCGTGTGTTCCAGCAGTACTGGCGTATGCCGGAATACATTGCGTCGAAATGGATGTTGGGAATTCTCTCCGGTCTCTTCATTGGTTTCTCATTCTTCCAGGCGAAGTCTTCCCTCCAGGGGATGCAGACCATCATCTACTCGTTGTTTATGCTGTGCTCCATTTTCTCTTCTCTGGTTCAACAGGTATGTCAAGTGTCAAGAGCATCCACTTGTATATGCCCAGACTAACCCCTATAGGTCATGCCATTATTCGTGACTCAACGATCCCTTTATGAAGTCCGCGAAAGACCCAGCAAAACATACTCATGGAAAGCCTTTTTGATCGCAAACATCATCGTCGAGATCCCGTACCAAATCATGATGGGCATCTTAACATACGCCTGTTACTACTACGCAGTTGTCGGAGTCCAAGGCTCCGAAAGACAAGGTCTTGTCCTCCTGTTATGTATTCAATTCTTCATCTATGCCAGCACTTTCGCCCACATGGCCATTGCCGCCATGCCCGACACCGAAACAGCTAGTGCTGTGGTGGTTCTTCTATTCGCCATGTCCCTGACATTCTGTGGTGTCATGCAAACCCCAACTGCGCTGCCCGGATTCTGGATCTTCATGTACCGCGTATCCCCCTTCACCTACTGGGTCTCAGCCATGGCCTCCACCCAGCTCCACGACCGCGCAGTCCAGTGCTCACCAGCGGAGATGTCCATCTTCGATCCTCCATCGGGCCAGACCTGCAGCGAATACATGTCTTCATTCATGAGCATGGCCGGCGGACAGTTGTCGAACCCTAACGACACCTCGAACTGCAACTACTGCTCGGTTTCCGTGGCGGATGATTTCCTGTCAACCGTCAACATCTACTGGAGTGAGCGCTGGCGCAACTTCGGCCTCATGTGGGTGTACATCGTGTTTAATATCTTCCTGGCGACTATGCTCTACTACACGTTCCGTGTTAAGAAGTGGAGCTTCAGCGGCTTGAAGGAACGATTCTCTAAGAAGAAGTGAGCCACAACATTACAATATACAGCACATATTTTCTTTGCTTCTACGTATATACCTCGCGGGCTCTTTCTTTGGCCTTGCTTATCGATTCCTGGTTGATACCCTGTCTCAAAAAGGATACTCTCAACCGTACTTTGCTTGGGATATTTCTTATCTTCGTGTGATACACTATTATAGAATTTTGCTTGCACTGTCTGATTTATTTATTAGACTGTGTCTTGGCTGGATTGTTTCAATCCAATCTCTTTAACTTTTGCTTTACCACTTTTTAATACTATTTAGCCTTGGCCTTGGAGGAAAGCAGGGGGGGAGAAAGGAAAAGAAAAATACAAAATACAAATTAAAAAAAAAAAAAAAAAAAAGAAAGAAAAAGAAAATTAATACAAACAACCTCTAGGGCTATCTGGCATATCATAGAAATACAATTTCGATTCGTCTACAAACCCAGTTCTATAATGTTGAGTGTAACGATACTTGGACGTTTTAAGTTGTTTATTTGTCCGCCTTAAACTAGTGATGAGTATAACACAGTGAAGCACAAACACAGTTTCCATTCCGACAGGATGGTCGTAGCTATATCAAAGCACAAAGGCTCTAGCACCTTCTATCCGGATCTAGGACAATCGTCTCTTCTTTGGATAAAGGAACAATGAAGGCAGGACTTTGATTGAGGTCCTTTGTAGTGGACGAACTTATTTACGCAGTTGATTAGCAGAAGTCTGACTCCTGACAATGAGCTTGATACTAGTTATCTGCTAGAGAGACACCTGAATCCACTCCGTAGCCTTCGTTCTGTGAATCTGGGGAGAGTATCCCGATATAGCTAATACCACAGCTCGAGTGACGAGTTAGACAAGATGTGGTTGAATCCCTGGGCCATGGGGATGCAATTTGAAGGGGGGCAGCCAGAGGGAGACAGAACCTCATGGCGCTCTTCTCTGTGTTTGAACTGCACACCATGCCCCTCCCTCTCTTTGAGCAGAATGGCAGTCCGCAGTAAGTCTTCTCCAGGCTGGGCTCTTGCACCAGCTAGATATCCTCCTCTCCCCAACACTACCACATACAAGCCTCCTACTCCTTCTTCCCCAGCCAGTCGTCTCACTTTCCATACATCTGCAAACAACCCCAACACCAAAAAAGAATGGACACCCACCCCTCCCAGTGGCAAGCAACGCTGCTAGACTATGCCTTCTGGCGCGACGCAGAAGCTTACAACAAACCCATGCACGACTCCATCGAAGCCGGTACTCCCATGCCTCCCTCCCGTCCCCAGAAAACGCGATATACTAACCTCTCGCAGAAGGAAAGAGACCTGTCCACCACAGACGCTTCCCCTTCACCCTCAGCCAGGAGCAACCCAACACCCAACTACAAACACTGACACAACCACAACCACAGCCACAGCCACAAAGAACTCCAGATAGCCCCATGCCCGACCCAAACGACACCGAAGCACACCGCCACCGCCGTTTCAGCATGAGCGACGCCCTCCTCCTCAACCCCTTCCACAGCACTCACCTGAGTCGACGGCGCGCACGCTCATCCATCCGCTCCGATGCCTCAGACCACACTACATCCTCGCAGGAACCAGTGCGAGCAAGACCACGCTCCAGATCGCGGTCCCGGTCTCTCCTCCGTCTCCCACTAACAATCCTCCGCGGACTGAGCAACACCAGAAAACGGCCCGACCAACTCCCAAATGACCATGCCACGCCCGCAAACCCCATCCTCGAGTTCCGCGGCGGTGACACCTGGGACCTCCTCGCGAGGGATAGGAAGAGTCTAGGACTGGACTTGTTCTGGCCCATTGAGTTCTCAACCCCAGGCTCTGGTCATCCCACAAAAGCAACCCCAATCCCAACTGAAGGGCCAGAACGACCCCAGTCCCAAGACCCTAGGGGGAAAGGCAACAACGACGACGAACGAGAACAAGAACAAGAAACCTTTCCCCTGACATCCTTAACCCCCCTCCTGCATTTCCGTCACCTGCGCGCCCTGAAACTAACCGGCATGATGAGCTCCTACCAGAAATACATCTGGCAAGCAGCATGGCTGAACCCGCACCTGGAAGAACTGGAGCTCGGCATGGCCCTCGCCCCAAGTCTACGCCGGAACTATGTGACGAAATGGCCGTGTATCCGTGGTGGATGGACACTTCGGAAGGAGAGTTTCGGTGGGTCGGTTTATTAGTATGTTTTTTGTCTCTCTCTCTCTCTCTCTCTGTTTCTTTTATCTTCCCCCAATCCATAGATACCACGTATCTACCCTTACCCCAGAACCATATCCATTTAGACAATCCAAAAGCCTAAATTCTAACAAAAATCCAGCGGGACAGGAACAGGAACCCTCCACCCAGCCCTTGGATTAGGCGAATACCTCGACAAAATGGTCATCGAGAAATCCAAAGTAGCAGGCATGGGCATGGGGAGAACGCGCACGCGGCTCTCGATCCGCACGCTGGTGTTGAGCGGGTTCGTGGTCGATGCGGATCCGTTCCTGCAGTGGTTTGATTGCGGGAAATTGAAGTGCGTGCGGTTTAGAGATGGGTGCGTGGATGCTGGGCTTTGGCTGGGAGAGGATATGGGGAGTGTTACTGTTGTTTGGCCGGGGGAGAGTGGAGGGGAGGTTGGAAAGGGGGTTGCTGGGCGGGTGGTGGAGAAGGGGGAGATTCGGATGGTCAGGTTGCTCTGAAGGTCTCTTGGTTTTATTCGGTGTCTTGTTATGGTGTCGATGGTCAAGAATGTGCAAGGGTGATTTGGATGAGGTTGTTTTAACTGCGTCTGTGGTGGAGAGGTAGGGTTGTGGATCTGGAGTATGGAACTCGTGGGATAGTTAAGCCGTTCGACTCTGTACTACTTAATTTAGTGTGGATATCCAAAGTCGACTTAGATCTTTCGATCTAGATAGTTTCTAGGGTAAACAAATATCGGAGAACCTGTTCATGTATTACAATTATTATAACGTATCCCATCACTTTCACGCGAAGATCAACAACGCCGACTCAGTGTGAAGAGAACACCAGACCCAGATTCTGTACAATAATAACCCGAAAGAACAGCGATGTAACGAGCGTCATTAACGAATCCACTTTTCCATCCTTCATCCAATCTCAGACTGTGCAACCTCAGTATGACGTCATCTCACTTCCGTCCTCCAACCACCGTCACGAAACAGGACCTTCTCGTCCAGACTCGAATCTGATTGCCCTTGTATCAGACAGCATGTCATGACTGCCTTAAGCACCCTCCTCTTCCGTGATGCGAATGGCACCCTCGTTACCGTGTCCATGGGACCAGAAACCGTCAACCAAGAGGGTACTGCTTCATTAGCTTTGGCAAGTTCGACAATCCTAGTTCTCAAGAGACTTACATTCCAGGTGCCGCATCATGCGCGAAGATAAGCCAGTAGCCGATAATACCCTGCAGGAAGATGTCATGGATAGCGAAAATGATGGTCTCGGCGTCGATGTTCATTTTGAGGGCTAGAGCGCCCGCCGCGATGGCCCTATATAGATTATCAGTATTCTTCATATTGCCCCTAAGAAGTAAGAAGGTAAAGGGGGGGGGACAGAAAACATACACAGGGAACAAAGCCTTAATCAGAAGCGACACGCCCGAAACTGTACCGAAGAATCTCTTCGTCTGGGCGTCCTTGTTCACCGCCGCGCGGCCCCCGTTCACACCAATGTGATACACAGTCGTGAGGTAGCCGATAGCGCTGATAGTGAACCAAACCCATCTGCGAGGAGTGTGGCCGGCATAGGTGCCTAGGACGCCGGTGCCGAGCATCACCCAGTCGGCGACGATGGCGACGAGGAGATGGGCACCCGGGAGACCAGACAGAAGGGCAAGATTGATGAGCGCCAGGGGGTTTGTCAGGAACCAGTTGAGGTACCGCAGCCAGAGGACCTGGCGGTAGACATCATGATGGGTGTTGGGGACGTGCTTGTTGTGGACTGTCAGGATGTCATGCTTGTAGGTTATGCCTTCGCCGGTTGCGAGGGCGAGATAGATGATGAAGGAGATTGTTGTGGAGATGGCGATTAGGCTATGGATGACTCGTTTGGTCTGTTCTTGTTAGTTTGATCTTACAATGTGTACGTGGCTGGGCTTACCAAAGGCGCTCGGGAGGCGAGGACGTAGAAGACGACAGATGATATGGCCATGAGCACAACGACAACCCTATGATACTATCATTAGGATCTAGATGGATAGAAACAAAGGTGTGGGTAGTATGTACCATAATGTCCGTTGGCTGGTCTTGGATAATTCCTGGAAAATGGCATTATGGCCAGGGACGACGGTGGGCACGGGGGCAACCGACGTCGGGGTAGTCGTGGGGGGCAGCGGCTTCGTCTTGAGGGTATTGAAGAAGTCGATCATCTCGGCGGGTGGATCGATCATCTTGAAGTATATTCAAGGTTCAGTATCCGATAAGCTTAGTTAAAGTAACAGCACCCGCAATGGTACGCAGTAGAACTGAAATCCAGAATCTCGACGGGTCAAAGAGGTTAAATGTCAGTAGGAATGGAAGATGGACCAACGGGTTATATAGAAGACGAAATATAAAGAAAGAAAGAAAATCCCTTACGAGAGACGTTCGTCATGCTGACCTCGATTCTGTCGTCATCGACCTACGGCTTCCAAAGCAGCCAATCGCCGACTCGAATCGCAACGTCGGACAAAAGAATGCAACCGTTTGATTTGTTTGCCACGATTGCAATCCCGCCCTTGATTCGGTTTCTTTGCTTTTGCACGGTCAGCATGTCGGTCGATCTGGATCATGTTCCCGTGCCTTGGCAGATACAAAACCGCTCGGTGAGGGGTCTATGCAGCTAGGTTATTTATAGCGGAATGTGGTCTGATCCAGGTTGCCAGTCGTGGTAAACTTGGTTTCTACACATAGAATGCGGAATGGAAAAGAATTGGAACCAGGGCTTCCTTAAGATGATTCGGTCGATCAATGTCGGTCCAAACCTCCATCTCTATATCCTCTTTTTGAAACATTAATACTCTAGACGGGGTATCAGCAATCCCAACTCTACAATGAAAACCCTCTTCTTGGCCCTACTACCATTACCACATATCCAACCTACAGAATCCGCCCCTTCACCTGCTGGATCTTCTTCACATTGACATCCTTCCACATCATCACCGATGCCAGCGTCACGGTATACAAACACGTCGCCGCAATCAACATCAACCGCTGCGTCTCTGAATACGACCGGTTAATGGCATCACGCGCCGCACTACCAACCGGATATGACGCCTGAACCGTCATGTCGCCATAAATATTCATCAGGTTTGACTGCGCGTCCACGGGGAGATACTCGGCAAGTTTCTGGGGAAAGATACCCGTCCACAGCGCCGTGGCGATGGTAGTGCCCACCGCACTACCAATATTAATGAACATGCTTTCCATCGCGAGCACGGCGGGAATGTGTTGCTGCGATGACACGGCCATGACCGTCATCTGCTCGCAGATCACCAAAGTGCCGCCACCGAACGCGATGAAGATCTGGCACATAACGATGTACCCGATGTTGACGCCCGGTTCACGGAATTTGATCATCAGCCCGACGCCCAGAATGGTGATGGGAACCCCAAAGTAAAGCGCTTGCCATTTGAGACGGCCGTTGTAACGGATCAGGATGCCCATGAGTACAGCCCAGAAGCAGGAGCCTACACTGTAGATATTGGTGATGTAGGTCGCTTGGCTGATGCTTTGGTTGAAGACCACAATTAGCATCGAGTAAAAGTATGTGTCCCAGAGATACCAGGCCAGGTAGATGCTGGCAGCCATGGTGTAGGTGAAGAAGACGGTTCGGTTGAGCAACAACGACCAGGGGATAAAGGTGACAGGGGCGATGTATCTCTCGTAGACAGGGAATGCAATGAGCAGGAGGCCGCCGATGACAATGAAGCAGATGATCAGCGGAGATTTCCACTCGCCTGGCTGTTTTGAGTACAGATTAAAAGCTAACAGGAATAGGGCAAGTCCGGTAGTAAGGAGGAGCAGACCGATAACATCAAACTCCTTGCCGTAGTAGACAATCGATTGCATTGCGGTGCGCTGGCTATGACGTTCGGGAACCAGACCAGCCTTCTGCGCTTTGCGCTGGTTATAGTAAAAGAGAGAAAATAGAGGTGTCAACATCACCGGCGTCACAATAGCCCAGATGCCGAAGCCCCATCTCCATCCCATGGAATTCAAAATGTCTTCCGCCGCCGGTCCGTATGCCCAAACCGTGGCAATGTACGGAGAGCCAACGAAGCCGAGCCAGAACGCCCGGTTTTTCAGCGCCGACGTATCAGCGATGAAGATGGTTAGGGTGAAATCCACACCAGCGGAGCCCACTGAGTAGAACACTTGAGCCGCACAATACGTCTGAACATTATTGCACCCAGCCATCATGATGAGTCCAACAGTCATGCAGGCGATCATCAAGGCAAACCCCTGGGGGCGACCCCAGATATCAATCAGCTTAGCATAAGGAAGTTTGAACAGGCCGCCAATAAGAGTGGAAAGAATAGTGGTAGTGCCAGTTAACGAGTGTTGCTTGAAAGAGCTGGTAACATATGGAGTCAATGTGCCAATGATGCCGAACGCGAAGTTCTTAATAAAGTATATGATCCAGATCCTAATTACAATGCCATCGTCAGCTTCGAGTGTCGGCGTCACACACAATACACTTCTCGGTAACACTCACATCACGTAGGCCAGAATCAAATGTTGTTTGGACCAGACCTGAGTCATGGCCTGTGCGCTCTGTACACCATGCTGGAACTCCGGATTGACCACATCACTCTTGTCATCGTCCACTTGATCGGCACGGGAGGTGGCCGCTTCCTTGGACGCAGACTGTGGCGCAACGTTGGCTTCATCGTCATCAGGGTGTCTTTTCTCGTCCAGCGGTATCTCATCCGGCTTAATGGGTAGTCTGAACTTCATGGTAGACTTCCTCTCCCTGGAGCCTGACAGAAAAAAAAGCCGTCAGGCGGGGCAAAAGGCATGGGATAGAATTCTGCACAAGAACTCAGCCGACAAGGGGGGAATGATCTACTGTTAAAATACTAGAAAATTCCTCCGAGAGAAATATCGCCCCAAAACCATATACCATGCCACCGTGCTGTCGGGAATTTCCGTCAAACATAGTTTGACTAGAACGCTAAGCAGTGAATTCCCTATCTTAGTTCTCGGTCTGGTCCTTAACATTGCTTGAGTATACACCACTCACAGTGGGTAATGGTTTCGTGAAGCAGGGTTCTTGCCATAGGGTCTGCCAAGCAGGTCTGTAATTGGCAGGATTTGAAGGGCCGCATTCCCTTATAGCCCTAGCTTGCGTTGCACGCGTATAAACGGAGGGACTGGGTACTGGGAACGATTTTGGCTGGCCGGGCTAAATGACTGGGATCCATACAGGGTGGGCCATGGGGACAAAACCGCTCCTTATCTGATGATCTGATAAATTGAACCAACAGTGGTAGCTCGCCAGTGCGCCAATCAGAGAGCGCACGGGCAGCTCCAGTTGTTGGTCAAAAACAGACATGAACAGGATTTTCTATTGTTTGTATCTTAACTTGAATATATGAGACATTTTGCTCTGACTGTTTTGTAATTGTCAATCTGAAAGAAACCTTTCAACTTGAAACAGAAAACTTGGACGTTATTAAGTGCCTCATCGGGACCGAGCTGGCAAGAGAAACCGTAAGATTTTGTCGCGGGTGATGAAATCTCTGCTCGCGCTAAACATGCTCTTAAATATTCTGCCATCATAAGCCCTAGTATCATATAAAAGCAAGCCGTGAGATTGAAGCTTGGCAATGTCGACCTCAATGTCGGCAACATTCCCGTTTCGGACCTAGGTTGAACGATGCAACCAACTTTTTCAAAGAGCTTCGCAAAATTATACATATAAGGAAAAACCAATAACAGGTAACTAAACTACAATACTCGTCCTCCTATAGACTTCAACAATCGCATCGCGTCTCATGATGCGTGAAGGCGCTTGTATAGCTCCGAAGTCAAACAGACACCAGGAAATTCTTCGAATTCTGGCTAAGCTCGTCCCGTGACAAGAGAATGTCTTCGAGTTGGCTAGAAAGTTCAGTGTGTGTATACGTACTTAGTAGTACTTAGTACTATGCTATATAGTACTAAATACTAGTAGTACCGGTGGTCAGGATCATCGCAGTCATTAATGCGCCACGTGCTGTCGACATCACCAATAGTAGCAGTATCATACCATTCCAGATCAAAGGAGGCTTTTTGCAGGATACCTAAAGCTATTGCCATCCTCACAGTGAGATTCGTTATACTTTTAATATTTTATCAAGCCTTAACCCGCTTAAGGTGTGGGAGTCCGTTACCATTGTGGCTAGTTGCTGGTTGGGCACGCTTGGTTTTAACTTTTGCCATGGAGGTGAGAGTTTCGGATATGGATATTGTTTGTTAGATAATGTACTCTTCTTAAACGAAAAGAGTAGATAAAAGAACAATACATGGAAAGAATAAGGTTAACCCATTGTCCTTGTTTGTCTTCTTGTATTATTTCTTTCTTCTCTTTCATTCGTGCGCTGGCACGGACGTCGGATATATATAATCTGTCGTAGTTACCCTTCATCGATCCTAGCATGTAATACTCCATAACAAATGTCGTCACTGAGCCAATCAATTTATGATATTAATACTACTCTGTGGTCTCGATAGTCATTTATGCTTAAATAAATATTCTATTAAAAAGATGACATCCCATGCAAGGAAGAAGGTCAGAGTGTTCCCACCTGACCACAAATTAACATCGACTGTTGTCAGTTGATCTAGACCAGTACTATGACTCCACTGAGTAGAATTTTGATAAATGATATGGATCCTCAAAAGGTCTACGTATCGGTCCTCGAGCGAGAATTATTCAAATGCCGCATTAAGTTATTTATTTGCGGAATAGAGCAATTACGGAATGAACTCCCTGCTCATTTGTGCAGGATATCATGACTGGCGAAAAGGAAGCTTTCATTCACTTCACGCTATTTCGTTTTTTGTCGTCCCTCCCGTAATTACATCCATGGCCGTGAGTAGCGTAGCAGAGCGTGAGATAAAAAGTTCATTCCAGCTTTTCCGATCCTACAGCCAAAAAAAAGTAGAAATCCCGTAGGAAATTGGTTCAAGAAAAAAAACGATCATGCAAATTTATTTCCCCGTCACGGCACTAATAATCTAGTACTTCTTGCCCTGGCGCAGGACGTCACCGAACTCCTCAAGAGGGCTGCGGATGAGCTTAGTCTCCTTCCAGAGGTTAGGAGTAAGGAAACCGTAGGTGTTGACGACGGCAAGGAAGGTGGCCTTGAGGGTGTTCTCGAGGGTCTTGGTGGAACCGGAAGAGGAGGTGTAGGCATCCTGGACACCGGCAAGCTGGAGCAGACGCTTAACGGCGGGGGAGGCAACAAGGCCAGTACCACGGGGAGCGGGGATAAGCTATCATAGGTTAGCATGCTACCTTCACTTCCAGAAATTGCGCATTTAGTGACATACTCTGACGGAGACGGAACCACACTTGGCGCTCTGCTTGACGGGCAGAGAGTGAGGCTCACCAAGGTTGCTGCCCCAGTAACCGCGACGGACGGGGAGAACGGCGAGCTTGGCAATGGTGATAGCGGCACGGATGGCGGTAGCGACTTCCTTGGAGGTCTTGATACCGAGACCGATGTGGCCCTCAGAGTCACCGATGATGACGACGGCCTTGAAACGGGTACGCTGACCGGCACGGGTCTGCTTCTGGACGGGCTTGATCTGTAAAGGGAAAAAAAATGAACCGTCAGCGGCTGCCACTTGCAATTTCCCTGATATCCATCCAAATCGCATCCATCGCATATCAAAATTCAATTATGCTTCCTCCACCACAAATTCTGCGCTTCCACACGAATTCCACTGGACCAATTTCCCTTCGGACAAAAAGTTCGTTCCGTACCTTCATGACCTCATCCTTGAGCTTGGGGAGGAAGAAGTCCACAATCTGGTACTCCTTGATGGGCAGAGAGTGGAGGTAGATCTGCTCCATGCTGGTGATCTTGCCGGCCTTGACGAGACGACCGAGCTTGGTGACGGGCTGCCATTCCTTCTCCTCCTGCTTGCCGCCGCGACGACCACGACGACCACGGCCACGGCCACGGTCACCACCACGGTCACCGCGGGAACCGAATCCTCCACGTCCACGAGGAGCAGCGTCAGCCATGTTGGATATATATGGCGATTGAAAATGAACCGTACGGGGAGAGGTAACGGACGGGAGGGTGTCGTTGAGGGGTTGTCGACGTCGAGGTTGACTTTCGTCTCTCACTATCCACACACAACTGTTTGGCTCACGGAAATTTCGTGCGCTAACCGAGCCCACAGAAACCCTATACCCTAGGCGGTGAACCCATTTGGGCAACCCGATGACACCCGCATCATGTGACTTCACCCTCCCCCATTGGGAGATTTTTACTCCAATAGTCTGCGGGCGGTGGCGCTGATTGTCGCGATCCTACTATTCTTATCGGCGGTCTGGGGGGTCATGTGTTTATCATCAAGCTATTAATTCTTTGTTGTCCTGTCCGGACCTTTCCTCAATCCCCATCCCCCATTCCGCTGTCAACATTTTCCTTCCTGTGAGAGGCATCGTCGCACTTAATTGAGCTTTACTTAGTCCAATTGACTCCTAGTCCCCCTCGTTGGCAGCATGTTTCGTTGGTATATCTCCCCGACCACATCCTGACCGGTTCCTGACGCTAAAACTTTATCTCTCAAACCAGGTATCAGGCAAAGTTGGCTAAGCAGCCCATTCTCACAGCCAGTGTGACTAGCGCTGTATGATTGTATTTTCAATTTTCATGATTCATCCTGGTTCTGACTTGTGGCAGGTGCTCTTTGGCAGCGGTGATGTGCTTGCTCAGCAGGTAGTTGATCGCAAAGGGTTTGAGAAGCATGACTTTGCTAGAACCGGCCGCATGGCTCTGTACGGAGGAGGTAAGTCATTTACCGCTTCTTGGTAAGTGGCCTGTTTTACTGACCTCAATAGCTATCTTTGGTCCCGCTGCTACGACCTGGTTCGCCTTCCTCCAACGCAACGTGGTCCTGAAGAACAGCAAGGCCACCATCGTTGCCCGGGTTGCCGCAGACCAGTGCTTATTCACCCCGACCCATCTCACCTGCTTCTTAACCTCTATGGCCATCATGGAAGGCTCGGACCCTATCGAGAAGTGGCGGAACAGCTTCCTTCCCAGTTACAAGGCCAACTTGACCATCTGGCCTCTTGTTCAGGGTGTTAACTTCTCCATCGTGCCACTGGAATATCGTGTCCTTGTTGTAAACCTAGTCAGCTTGGGTATGTGTCATTTGTTTTCAGTGGAGGTTTTGTATGGCACTAACATTGCTACCTTTAGGTTGGAATTGCCTTCTAAGCATGATCAATAGCGGCGATAAATAAGCGAATGCCTTTCCTTCCAATTGTTTGGAGACCTTACGTTTAGAGATACCCATTGATTGTATAGCTGATACACCGAAGCCTCTATTTTTTTGAATTGTTCCGGGGTCATAGAGGTCGTTCCTCACTTTTCATTATCTGTTAAGACATGCTTTCCTTTGTTTCAAAACTTGGGGCGCAACATCTAGAACATTTCGGATCAAAAGTATACGAGCTGGAATAGAGCGGATTGTATAGTGACCTGTTGTTGTTGTTGCTATTCCTGCGGGTACATAGAATTATAATTAGAAACTGCTTTTCTTGTTCCTGTCAGATTTAATGGATCGGTTTGTCTTCAATCCGCATTGACTTAGTGACCGGATCGATTATTAGGGCTGGGGTTTGGGGAGAGCCGCATCAGCCTATAAGAGGCCTAGAAAGGTACAGTGGCCCAAACGGGTAAAGTTGCACTGTCGTCAAGCTGCCGCATCTCCAAACGCTTCAAAACTTCATATCCCTTCCACAGGTTTACCTACGCCCCTTTTAGAAGACGAGAGAAACCGTGGTTCTGCCCGGAGCAGACGATTAAATTCCTAGGATCGCCGCGCACCAGCCGCTTTGATACTGCCCCAGTTTATCCGGGTTGCTCTTTCCTGTCGGCTTTTCCCACCTTAAAACACAAAATTTGCCTTCGCCCACCGAGACTTTTCCCTCACCCCTCCGACGACGCTCTCCGGCATTCTGATCACCGCAACGTCACCCGTATAATTTTCGCCTCGCTTTATTTTCTCTCTAATCTCGATTATTTCACATCCACCATGGCCGCTGTTGCTGAAAACGGTCCCGTACCGGTGAACGACGAGAACACCGCGCCCGGCGTTGCCGCCCCCGAGCAGAAGGAAGAGACCGAGAAGACAAATGGCGACAACATCACAGTGTTCCATGACCCTGAGAACTTCAACGTGAAGCACCCTCTTATGCACGAGTGGACCCTGTGGTTCACCAAGCCTCCTAGCGGCAAGGTATGCAGTCTGACCCGCCTGTGGCCTGAAGACCACCAACACTAACGGTTTTGTTCGACTCGCAGGGCGATAACTGGAACGACCTTTTGAAGGAAGTTGTCACATTCAACTCGGTTGAGGAATTCTGGGGAATCTACGTATGCTCCATCCCTGTCATCTTTCAATCTAGTGGTGGCTAACCCCATGTTACTATCATCAGAACAACATCACACCGACCTCTGAGTTGGGCCTCAAAGCAGACTACCACCTTTTCAAGAAGGGCATCCGGCCTGAGTGGGAAGATCCACAGAACAAGCACGGCGGCAAGTGGTCGTATTCGTTCAAAGACAAGCGTTCCGTACCGATCGACGATCTGTGGCTGCACGCCCAACTGGCAGCCATTGGCGAGACTCTCGAAAATGACGGCGATAGCGAGGTTATGGGAGTCGTTGTGAATGTGCGTAAGGGTTTCTACCGTGTCGGTTTGTGGACACGGACTGTGGGCAAGAGCATTCCGGGAGACAAGCAGGCCCGTACACCCGCTCAGGGCAAGGACGTTCTCGAATCCATCGGCCGCCGGTTCAAGGAAGTCCTGCGCCTGAATGAGGCAGATGTTGTGGAGTTCTCTGGACACACAGACAGTGCACACAGCGGTAGCACGAGGCGAAGGCCAAGTACACTGTTTGAAGCGTTTACGACATCGGGTGCTTCTCATTTTACGATCTGTCCCAGATGAATGCCGCTTCTCTTGTTACGAGACGATAGAAGAATCTATGATCATGGCCAATAACGACGGGCTATCATGAAGGAAAGGATACTGGCTGGGGCCCCGCTCTCGCTTAGGAGTCTACAGTGATGATTGATCGTAGACGTCGACGGCATGTATCTGCTCCGTACGTATGACGAGGTTTATACCATCTGCTATTCGACTACTGTCTTCTTCATTTTTCTTATGGTCGGACGAGGGGAAACTCTGATAGGAAAATAGAAAAAAAGTGTTTCATACTGCTTCTTCATGCTCTATGCCTGTTCTCCTGATTATGCTTTTTTTGTTTCTTAGTTCGTCTTGATGCGAGTCTTCTCTATAGATACCGTGCATTAGCAATGGAAAATACCTTTTGACTTTAAAAAAACATCTGTTACTGGCCCTCCTTTTACCTGGTCTCGTGGTACTCGACAGACTTGTTTTCTGGGATGTGCCGTCCTTGCGTAGTGCCATGAATGGAATTTTCCGAAACGGGCAGCCAGTATACTATTCACTGTTGCCCTCAACCTCTTCTACGCTCTTCCATGACAGATCGCGTCAACAGACCGTCATGACTGTGAATGAAGGTGGCTGCCTGCTGCCTACTGCCCCTTCTGTTTCTCCTTTCCTCTTTTCTTCTTCTTTCCTTCGTGCTTCTTCAACCTCCCTATCTCAGCCTGAACACCACCTCCCCCATCTTCTTCCCTTCTCCTCCCACAGCCTAAACAGCATCGACCTGGTCATTACAACTGACTGGATTTCCGATCAACGACACATCCGTCCACTTTACTCAGTGCGCTGAACTGGAGGTGCGAGGGTCAGCGATCCGGTTGGGTGTCGGGCCCGACTTCGTGTACGACCTGGACGTTGCTGTGTGGCTGTCCCTACTTCCTCGCCTTCTCCTCCCTTTCTCTGCCCTCTCCAGGTTTGCGTTGTATGAATTCGCCCTGGCACTTCAAACAGTTGGGATTCTGCGCGTACAATCTGTAAGTAACACTCCTCCCTTCTTGGCGTTGTTCTCACTGACCGTGTTTGCTAGGCCCCTTTCCTCGCTCTCTACACTCCCCAGCACAATCATTTCCTCTCCTCTCCTCTGCACCATAGAGGGCTTCCGTTGGCCTGGATTCCTTCAGGCTGCAGACTGTTGGAATTCTGCTGGCGAAAGAAGCTGTAGGTGACACCCCTCTTCATTCGTGTAGGTCTTGCTGACTGTGTTTACTAGCCACCCTCCCTTTCCTCGCTCTCTACGCTGCATTGCACCTACACCTCCTTCATCTCTGCATAGTGTAACTTTGCATTGTACGAATCCGCTCCGGAGCCGCTGGCCGTTGGGATTCTGCGATATACAAGCTGTACGTAATACTCCTCTTCCCTAAATCTATCCTCACTGACCGCACTTTATAGACACCCTTTCCTCGTTCTCTCCCCGCCCTCGACTAACATTTAGCTATCCCGGGTCCCGGTGGTTGGGTGGTTGGGCTGGGCCTGGGGCATCATTGTTTTGAAGACAATC